AACTGTAAAAACAAGGAACATTGGCATTGGATATTATGCCAATAAGAAAATTAAATCTGTAGGCAGAAGTTTCTTATTTAAAAACTGTTATGGGGCATATATTAATTTGTATCTGTACCACAAATCACTGAGAAAAATCATATAATATTCATAATTGTTAACGAGATGATATTTAAAGAGTGTTAAAAATGAGACTATTAGTCATGAAGCTTACAATGTTACTTTGTTTCAATATTACACTTTTATTCTTGTAAAATCTATGATGAAGTTCAAAAGCATTTTGCAATGGCCTTAAATTGTGAGCCAGGATTTATAGCAAAGGTATTTGATGCAATGAAACTTAATCAGTACCTTCCAGTATGTATTTTAGTAAGGGGATTGTCAATCCCATGTTTTTAAATAGATAAAATACAGGCCAAAATATTACAATTGAGAAGAAACTATTTTATTTTAAAAAAAATTTTCTTAAAATTCTGAGATCATATAATCTAATTTTTTTAATAATAAATTAGGTATATGTATGTTGTACATACAGAATTTTGTTATGGACAAATAAGGATCGACAAGCTTCTTTTGTGCAAAAAATAAATGATTTTTTCTAGTATTAAGACAAACCAAAATGTGTTTTACAAACCTACCGGTAACAGTTTTTTTTTTATAATTAAATATTTAGGAATAATTTGGGTTGTTTATTAATATATTAATGACTTGAATTTTGACAAATTGAATTTGTATCAAAATAATTTTACGAAATATAAAATTGATGTTCTATTACAAGATTGAGTTTTTATTGTCGACAAAAACCAGGATAAATACTAATAATAATACCCTTAATAAAATCAATGATGTTTATGTATTATGAAAATATTTGTTAGAGGACATGTTATGTAACAGTTTTTGTAACACAATTTGAAGGGACGAATAAAAAAAATAAAACAAAAACATATTTTTTCTAGGTTTATATTAAAAATAGGTAGTAGGTAATCATCAAAAATAATTATGAACCAAATGTTTTTTATGAATATACGACTTGAACAAAAAGTTGTTTAGAACAATTTTTACCAAATTTGCAAAAATTTTAAATTGAAACGAGTAATTCAGTACAAGTAAACATGAAATAATTGTAAATACTTATCGAGGTTGCGTAATACTTATCCGTAGCGTCTTTTGTCAGAATATTCGTATATTTAGTGTATTTACCAATATTGTACGCAGTTTTGAAACTGATAACTAAATAAATCATATTAATGTTAACTAACCATAATAAATGATAGAATTTCAATAAATTTAAATTGCCCCCCGTATGGTTGAAAACAGCAAATTGATATTTGATTACTTATAGATTACCACCTATATACAAAATGACACGGAGATGTGGAATATGGCCCCCAACTTGATTACACCTTCTGCGCATGTTAACGCTCATTCTCTATCCCTTCTATTTCTCTGGAGTCAACGCAACACCCGCTAATAACGTTACCGCCTGACGTAATTTGCGGATCAATTACACCAGGCGCTCTTTCTAAATAACCTCTGATAACGTTTAAAAATTGCTTAAATGGGCATGAGCGGGTATTTGACAACCGGAGCCGGCCAGCGAGATCTTTTATTTTAGGTTATGTTTGAATTGTTTTGAATTATTGCTTTAGTTTTATTAGGTAATTTGATACTTAAGTAGCTGAGATTAGTTTTAATTAAATAAATATGGCTCAAAATATGGATTCCACCTCTTCCAATACTAAAGAACCTATAAAGAGTCTTAGGTTTACAGCAGATGACGACTTAGCCCTTCTAAGAGAATTTGTTGCTTGTTGTTCTAAACCCATTGGCAGACGTTGGAAATAAGCACTTTAGCCCTTAAGTTTTAAAATACCTAGTAAACAAAACAATTTCAAAGTTATAGCGGACGCGACGCGATCAGAATTCTTTCCGATCCGATAACTATAAATGAAGAGAGTTAATACCACCTTACGTAAAGGAAATAACACCTGGCCTTATTAACGTCCATGCACGCTATTCGGTTTAGCGATATCTCTCTATTACGCTGTTTATTGTTATTTTACGCGAGTTTACTTTTGCGCACAGGAAATTTGACTCGTTTGCACATCATCATAAAAAACAATTTTTGTACCACGAATTAGGGACAAGATTTTTATCTGTATACTTATAGGATATCTAATCTGTGCTACCAGCTTGTATCGAAACATAAACAAAAAATATTTTAATAAGGATTGCACATTTTCCCTGACTAACGTATTGTTTGAAACGAGTCCTTTTTTATTAGCAAAATTGATTAGATTTTATAAAAAAAGCCGTCACCAAAAAAAAAACGCTCAAATCTACAAGAAAACCTTCCTAAACATTATAGTACGAAAGCTAGTCAGTACAACGTCGGAAAAACAAGTATTTTAAGACGTCTGGCTCTTTGATATATCTTTTACTGTGCTCTCTAGAACAGCAGGCGGCCCGTCTGGCTGCCGGTAAACGTTGCGTTCTCTACTGCGCATTGAAAGAAGATCCTATATTTTTATTATTCCTTTAAATTCTAATATTGAATATAAACCGACCCAGTCTCCATAGCTCAGCGCGTAGAGGTTCCGCCTATCAAGCGAGGACTCATAGTTCGAATCCGGGTAAGGGCAAAAAATTTTTGATTTTATTTTCGTTTGATTGTAAAGTATTAAATATTTGTTGTTTTTTGAATCACCAGAATTATTTCAGAACTTGGATTCTATCCTCGGTTCGTAGTCGGAAACTCTACGCACTGCGATATGGAGACATGTTCGATTTATATTCAATACTAGAATTTATAGAACTAAATTAATAAAAAATATAGGATCTTCTTCCGATGCGCAGTAGTGAACGCAACGGGTATCGGCAACCAGACGGGCCGCATGCTATTCCAGAGAGCAAAGATATATCAAAGAGCCAGCTTTCTTAAAATACTTTCTCGAAAACGTTGCTAGCTCTTAGACTAATTATATCGAAAAATAAACAAACAATTTTTTAATAAGAATTGCACATTTTCCCTGACCAACGTATTGTTTGAAAATAGTCTTTCTGTATTAGCAAAATTGATTAGATTTTATCCAAATAAAAAGCGTCAGCAAAAAAAAACGCTAAAATCTACAAAAATACCTTTCCAAACATTACTAAATATACCAGTAATCGTTTACGATCTGGCAAAAATCTAGGTAGGGATAAGTTCTATTAACCATTCTCGCTAAACTGTTGATTTGCCTTGTCCGGGACCGTCCTACAAACATCGTGCCGAATTAAAGTAATCTGTGGTCCGGACCCAGGGGCCGAATTACCACGGGATTACGCTTGAGATTAGGTATAGAGTTTATTTGAGACCGTGTCTCTATCCAGACGACCATGAAGATTCTGAGGTTTGGAGAGGTTTAATCTTATTTACCCTCGTTAGAGACACCACTAATTCGTTTCAATATGCAAAGGTTTATAGTAAATATTATCCAGAGAATATATCTATTGTTATAAATAAGAATACATTTCTAATGTTTTAACATTTTTTTACTTGACAAAGTTCTTTCATCTACTTACTCTAAGACATGGACTTACGACCGGGAAAAAAATTGGTCAAGTGCGAGTCGGACTAGCGCACGAAGGGTTCCGTACCATTCATTATCTACACAACATTAGACACTATATTATTATAATTTTTTTTCCGATTTAGCTGAAATTTTGAATGCGCGTATAAGTAATTTAAAAAAAAAATGAAGAAACACATTACTAAAAATTGTATTAATCAATAATAAATATGTAAAAAGTAAAAATAAATATGTAAAAATATGTAAAAATTAAAAAAAAAACGGTTAAAAAAAGTCGCCTTGACTAGGATTCGAACCTGCCATACTACGGCTCCAACCTCATAGCTCCTAACGCTTTAACCACACGACCACCGAGGACTTGAAAAATTCTATGTAAAATTCTTACTTAAAAGATAATGTTTCGTGAAAGTACTTTTTTATTTATAAAAATTTATTTAATTCTATTTTTAGTATTTGTTCTTATAGCGGCAACATAGATACATTATCTGTGAAAATTTCAACTGTCTAGTTATAAAGGTTCATAAGATAGACCTTTGTGACAGACGGACGGACGGACGGACGGACAGCGAAGTCTTAGTAATAGGGGTCCCGTTTTTACCCTTTGGGTGTACGGCGTACAGCATAATAGACTCTTCCTAAAAAGGAAGAGTCTATTACGCTGTACTTTCGGGTCGCTCTCAGGGGTCGGGTAAAGCGGGTGTGTGGCCGAAAGAAATACATATATATTATATTTCAGAAATCTGCCTAAGGGCTTAGCCCGATCCTGTCCTATTAAGCCACATCTAAAATTCCAAACACACGTGCTTTAATTAAGGCTTGATTAAGGTTTGCAGAGCTTCAGCATTTGCCATAAAATGGCGAGCAATTTGTTACAAAACCATATAAATTATATATCACAGTAATCACAAAACTTCAATCTATTTCCGTATTGGAACGGAATTTTAAATTATGTCTTTATTTTCGAGAAAATTTAGTCCAAACATAAGGAATGTTTTGTTGATGTTTGATCATCAAAATCTTAAAAATAAAGAAGTTGTCTAAAAATGTGCTACAATACGGATATAGTATAATCCTTTACCTTTAATTTTCTTCTTCATTTGTGTAAAAATACCTAGCCAGTTTTACATAAAACGTTAAGTGCCGAACGCTTTTTCGGACTAGTGAAATGAGACTCTTAAGTAAGGACAATCTTCGGATTGTCACGGGGTTTTCAACAGGACACTGTCTCCTCAACGAACACATCAGTAGATTGAAGCTAAGAAATAACGGAGAATGCAGATTCTGTGGGGAAAATGGGGAAACACCAGAACACAAGGCGAGAATTTGGTGTTTTTATCAATCAGGACACTATATTTCGCAATTTCTGCTAGCATTTAAAAATATCTATTATTAAAATACACGATTACTAAATATACAAAATTCTTTCAGAATGGTTTCCTGGATGGCCTCAGCATCAGCACTACAATCGCCAGCCCAACGACGACGGCCTCAGCGAGCAGGATTGCGTAGAGATGCGCAGGACCTACTCCCTACCCTCATCCGCTATGAGCCTAGTACCTGAGTTCATGTGGAATGACCGCGACTGCTCAACGCCCAACTATTTCATCTGCGAAAGACTCCAAAATGACGGTACGTTGTCTTTTTCAAACCTTGGATTGCACCTTTTCACTCTTTGTTTACCTGTATTAAATTAATTATTATCTTTTACAGAACCACTGGATGAGCACTGGTCTCCCGAATGCAACAGATCGCTGATTCTGTCCAGGCAGCAACCTAGAACAGCTATTTCCAGCCCGGGGTTTCCCAGGCATTATCCAGACAACGCCGATTGCGATACGCACATTGTTTCACCTCCAGGATATAGAATAGTTCTTGATTTTGATGAATTAGTGATAGAAAATGAACCCACGTAAGCATTAATCACTGTATTTATTTATTTCAACCATACCAAATCTTTTAACACTGACATTTTTCCAGAATTTCATTAATTTCATGTTTATAAACATTTTATAATATTTTCTTCCTCTAATAGATGCAGCTACGACTACTTAGAGATTCTGGAAAACAATTTCAACAGTTCCAACGTTTCAGCATCTCCAGGAAGAAGAATTTGTGGTGACTGGAGTCTCAAACTTAAACTTCTCAGATACGTTAGTCAAGGTTCCAAAATAACACTGCGTTTCAGTTCTGACTACTCTCACCATTTTGGAGGTTTTAAAGCCAGAGTTTCCATGGAGAGCGGTAAAAACACAATTTATTTGCCAAAAGAAATGGAATTTTTATGATATTTTGTCTCTAGCTATGCATTGTGGTGATGACAGACTAGTCATGTTCAATGACGATTGCTACTTGGTAGTGAACTATCCAGAAGTGACCTGGCATACAGCTCAGCAGGTTTGCCACGGTATCAAGTCGAGTTTGGCTTCGGTATTGACTCCGGAAGAAGCCAGATTTATATCAACTGCTATAAGGAAGAATCCAGAGTACAGGACCAGCGCTATATACTGGTAAGGTTTTTTTATATATATTTTATGATCAAAATATTCTTTCCCATTATTTTGCTGAGGTACGCTTGTACAGGGTGTCCCATTTTAGTTGAAATCATACGGTATCTCCGTTATTCGTGAAGATAGAAGGGTGCGGTTTTTACAAACCTGTGCCACTTTTTTGTCAAATGGAAGATGCTGTCAACAAAATTTTTATAACCCTTTTCGTTTCTGAGCTACATGGTCTTTTCGAAAATTTTGCAATTTGGGACCGCCCCCGTATCTCCGTTATTATGGATGATATCGAGAAGGTGAAAACTGATTCTTGTAGAACTTTTTACGTAGAATACAGTAGCGTAGTTTGTTTTTCTAAAAAAAAAATATTTTTGAAAATATGAACTAAAGTTATGTTTTTTCAAATGGAACACCCTGTATATTTATAAACCATATGATCCGATATATATATATATATATATATATATATATATATATATATATATATATATATATATATATATAATGAGCTTCTCTAAATATATATATATATATATATATATATATATATATATATATATATATATATATATATATATATATATATATATATATATATATATATATATATATATATATATATATATATATATATATATATATATATATATATATATATATATATATATATATATATATATATATATATATATATATATATATATATCACTCTATATTTATTTTCACTGTTTACTACAATATTTAAAATATATCATTTTCTTATTAGTAGGCCGTGATAAATAACAATATCAAAATGGTATTTACTAAAATAGACATGCACATATTAAAATTTTATTTGGATTTGATATATTTTACTTTTGAACTGTTACCACTGAACCTCTAAATATATTTTTCTCTTTTTTATAACGGAATTTATTATAATGGGATGGGTTTGCAAATATTTAAAAGCTTGCATTATTGAAGCATTTTTCAGGTGTTCAACATCGTATTAGTTGCCACGATATATTTCATATTTCAAAAATCCCCAAAATCAGAGATCAAGAACAGACAAATCATCAGGAAGGCCATCATATGGGTACATTGGTTCCAATTCATTGATTTGAGAAATAATAATTTAACAAAATTCTAATATTTTCGTTGTAAGTTAAGTTGTGAGGGGGAGCCCCATCTTGCTGAAAGTATATTTCACGATTATGTGTTATCTGTGATTTCACGTAAATTAGCTAACGGAATATTTAAAAGTTCCGATACGATAGCTTCCAAGATTTACAAATAGCGGTAGGAATTTAAGTTTCCCTAATATACAAAGAATTAATTAGTGGCTCTCAAAATAAAACAAGAGACAGATAGCAGTATTACTCTTAATAATTCTTTAGTTTCTTTTATTATCAATCATGGCCTACTAAAAAAATGATCTTTTAATATGTTTTTTTTTAAATATTGCCTTAAATAATGAAAACAAATATAGAGTGTTATATATTTTTGAGAAGCTTATAACAAGCCAGATCATATATTTGATAAATATACAGGGTGTTCCATTTAATAAAACATAACTTTAGTTCATATTTTTAAAAATATTATTTTCGTAGAATAACACACTACACTACTGTATTCTACGTAAAATGTTCTACAATAAACAGTTTTCACCGTCTCAATATCTTTAACAATAACAGAGATACGGGGGGAGTCCCAAATTGCAAAATTTTCAAAAAGACCCTGTAGCTCAGAAACGAATAGGGCAATGAAAATTTTGTTTACGGCATCTTCCATTTGACAAAAAAGTGGCAAAGGTATGTGCAAACCGCACCCTTCTATCTTCACGAATAACGGAGATACCGTATGATTTCAACCAAAATGGGACACCCTGTACTTGAGATGAATGTTTAACACTACTAAAGTTTTTGTATTTTTTTATTAGTACTCTTCTGTACTTGATATTATGTATTATATCAAGAAAATGGTCAAAAACCATTAGTAATATCCTTGTATATATACAGGGTGATTCCTGTAAGTCGGTCATGCTTTCGAGGAATGATAGGGGAAGTCGAAATATTAATTTTAATATAGCACACTATGGGTCGGAAATGTCTCTTACGCAAGATACAGGGTGTTAAAGTTTTTGAAAAATAATTAATAAAATTTCATTATAGGAATCTACCTAACAGAGACACTTTAAATGTAAAAAGAAGAGGTTTTAGTTTCAACCAGTGGCGTAGCTGTGATACGCATCGGGTAATTTTTTCAAAAAAAAATAGTACGCCACTGATAAAAATAAACATTTTGGAGTTTTTTTATTTACTCGGTTTATTTACAAGGAAAAATGTGTCTTGCAACTTTCTCCTATCTAACACCATTTTGTCACAATTTAAAAATAAATAAATTTTTTAATGAGAATCCTAAATACAGCGAATTATTATAACTAGAGGGCAGAAACACATGTGCATCGTAGCTCCCTTCATCTTGGGTAACTTTAATACTTTTTACTATTAACACTAAATACATTTTTAAAAAATTATAAATTTAAACTAGAATTTTTTTTTATTGTTAATAATAAAATTCGTAGTTTTGAGGTAGTAGTTATAATAATTCGCATATTTAAGGTTCTCATAAAAAAAATATTTTTAAATTGTGACAAAATGGTGTTAGATAAAAGAAAGTTACAAGAGACATTTTTTCTTGGAAATAAACCGAGTAAATAAGAAAACTCCGAAATTTTTATTTTTATCAGTGGCGTACTATTTTTTGTGAAAATATTATCCGATGCGTATCACAGCTACGCCACTGGTTGAAACTAAAACCTCTTCTTTTTACATTTAAAGTGTCTCTGTTAGGCAGACTCCTACAATAAAATTTGATAGCGATACTTTCAACTGTTAAAAAACTATTAAAAAATATCTTTAATTTTTCAGAAACTTTAACACCCTGTATCTTGCGTAAGAGGCATTTGCGACCCATAGTGTGCTATATCAAAATTAATATTTCGACGTACCCTATCATTCCTCGAAAGCATGACCGACTTACAGGAATCACCCTGTTAGATAATACCTATACCGGGTGTTGCATCATCGGACGGGACATAGGAAATCCCATGTAAATTTTAATGGGGTCAATTATTGGCTTTCCTAATTATTTTAGAGAATAATTATATTTAGGTTTATTGAAGAGCACTAAAACCCACATTCAGAAGAATAGATATTTTAGATATTTTTGATTAGCTCGTTTACGAGTTATCGCCGATTTCTTTTTAAATATTTCTCCTTTCTGCGGCCCTGTATTTACTCGGCCCTGTATTTACTTATGAGCACCAGTCAAGGTAAAAGATAACTGTCAAATGAAGTTGTCATTTCAGAAATTTACCTATTTAGTGCTTTATTATTATTGAAAATTCATTCCTACATCGGAAATCTTAAATACAAATACAAATTAATATGAATTAAACTAAAATAAAGTAATCAATTACAAGGTTAATTATAGTATTATTACAATATTCAATAACTTATTAATTTAGGTAGGTACTATTTAATTGTTAGAACTTTAGGATTTAAGATGTTCAAATATTCCTCCATCGACTGCTAGACAATAACCCAGGCGATCATAAAATTCTCTTCTTACATTCGCTAGTTGGTAAACTGAAATTCTATTGCATTCGGCAGAAATAGCATTCTTTAACTCGTCTAGATTTGGGTCTTTTTTATCCTTGTATATCCTGTTTTTTAAATGGCTCCAGAGAAAGAACTCATTTGGTGAAATATCAGGAGACCTTGTTGGCCAATTTACTGTATGATTTAGACCAATGACGTTTCCGTTAAAACTATTGTCTAAATATTCCCGAACAGCCAGGGTACTATGTGCCGGGCAGCCATCCATTTGGTACCAAACTTCCTGATTTTCCCTAGCGGCATCATGTAAAGCAGGTAAAATATGATTTTCGAGTAGTTCCAAATAATATTCTGCATTTAAATTTCGCGTAAGAAATAATGGCCCGATAATATTGTGTCCGAATATTCCTGCCCAAACATTTACTTTCTGTGGATATTGCGTCCTTGTTTCGACAAACCTGTGATGGTTTTCTTTGTTCCAATATCGATAATTTTGAACATTGGGTTCATTATTTAATTTAAACGTGCATTCGTCAGTGAAACATATGTTTTTAAAAAATTCCCTATCCGTGTTTGCTCTTTCCATCATATCAAAACAAAACGCCTGCGCCGTATTTCGTCCCCATCTCGTAGCTCTTGGTGCTTTTCAAATTTGAAGGAATAATATTTATGTCATTTCATAATTCGAAACGCTGTAGTGTGATCTATTCCTATTTCATCCTCAAGTTTCCTTGTGCTGATCTTTCCATCGTTCCCTTCCACGCACAATAAAACCTCCAAGTCGGTATCATTTCTTGCATCTTCTCTTTGTTCCTGCCTTGCTTCACATCTGCAGTTATTTAGAAGGGTACCTTTGGTCTCAAATCTCTGGAAATTCCATGAGATTGTTGATTTTCAAAGTATCGGTCTATTCGGATACAAAGCAGCAAACATATCCGACACCTTTTGATAACTATTTCCTTGATAATACCATTTAATCATCAATACTTTTTCTTCGGTAGTGTAATTCATGGCTAATATTTTCGATGTAGGTATGAGTTTTTAATAATAATAATAAAGCACCAGGGGCCGGAAAGTAAAATAGCAAAAGCGGTTCCACCGTTTCCACGGAAATTTCAAATACAATAGTTCCAGCCTCGGGCGCTAGGTGGTAGTGCAATTAATTTTTAGGTTAAGAAGTTGCCACTAGTTATTGCCAGATGGCGTTCAATCAGATTTTTTTGTAGTTTCCATAGTTTCCAACGGCCATTGTCATATTATTGTCAAATTCTCAAAAAATATTGTCGTTGTCATAGCGCCAATCATAATATTATCAAAAATGATTATCAAAACCTCTGATCAAAACGTTTTTCAAACTATAATTTTTTATATGTGTTTTTATTAGACAATTCCTTTTGTTTGTGGCCCTAAAAATATAATGTAAGTCTTTTATTTTTGCCATCATTTAAGTACCTATTTATATTTACCCCATTTACAAAACTTTGGGCGTATTACGTTGGTCTTGTTTTATTATAATAAACGATGTTTAAATATTTGACATATAAATAAAAACTTCAAATAATAAATAATATTTACACATGTTTGGCTTTAATTTTATTTAATAATTGTATAAATTATACTGTTAAATCTTATTTTTTACACATCACAACGATACTTGTTATTAGTATTATTGAATTCGTGTAAAAATAAGATTTAATAATCAAATTTTAGAGCAAAATTCAATAAATACGCTCATTTAAAAAGCCCGCGCTTCGATCCATTTAAAACAAGCCCTACTCAATAGATGGCGCCACTACTTCGTAGGACCATTTTTCAGTATGGCAGAGTCCATTCTTTTTCTAGCTAGGTATATTCTTTGTAAAGCACTAAATAGATAAATTTCTGAAATGACAACTTCATTTGACAGTTATCTTTTACCTTGACTGGTGCTCATAAGTAAATACAGGGCCATAAGAAAGGAGAAATATTTAAAAAGAAATCGGCGATAACTCGTAAACGGGCTAATCAAAAATATCTAAAGTTATTCTTTTAAATGTGGGTTTTAGTGCTCTTCAATAAACCTAAATAGAATTATTCTCTAAAATAATTAGGGAAGCCAATAATTGACCCCATTAAAATTTACGTGGGATTTCCTTATCTTCGACGTCCCGCTCGACGATGCAACACCCGGTATAATACAACCTAAATTGCCATATTATTAAGAAATTATGTTTTTAACTTAAAACTAAAAAAAATCCAAATTAAAAAAAAGAATCGCGAAAAAAAACCTCAAGGTGTATTTCTGGGGTCGAAATATACTACCCCTAAAAATATTTGCACTTATTTACTCACACCCTCTATCAGACTCATTCTGACTCACCCTCTATAGGATAATTTAAAAAATTTCTTAAAATTATACAGAGTTCTACAGGGGGTTGCCCTAAAAAAGTTACACATCAAAGTTATGTTTTTTGTAATGGAACCTATATATTAACTGATTTTCGGATTATAGAAACAAAATAAAGATAAGTTTTCTACGTGAAGCATATGACTGAAATTTAAAGTTTTTGATATAATTAACATTTTCTGAAAATGAAGAGGAAATTTTAAATTTTAATTAAAACTACCTTAATTCGATTGTACCCGGTATAGCCTAATATGTAGTTAAAATAACCATTGTACTTTAAATCAAATTAAAACTTGACTCGAAAAGTTATACAGGGTTAGACAAAATTAATACTGAAACTTGGTCACATTTAAAAGCAAGTTACTGTTTTATTTCAATTAGAACACCCAGTATATTATTCCGATATTTATGTCACTTTAAAATACTGTTTGATTGCCTACCCCTCAGACAAAGATTTTCGAAGATATTTTCATTTATATGATTTAGTATCAGTAGATTATTTGATAAAATATAGATGGCTGTGATGTCTGACGTTTCTTGAACATAATTGTCAAATTAGTTCATCTTTAACAACTAGTTATCACATTCTGTCAGTTGAAATGAAAAAAATCATTGGTGGAAAAAGGCCACACAATATATTATTAGCCACGTTTTGACACATTTTCTCCTTGTGTCGCCTAAGAATTTGATATAATTTTTTTACTGAACTTGATTAACTAGCAATATATTTTTAATTAAATTCCTTAAAATAGTGAAACCTCATATTTCTAGGTTAGGAGGTAAAGCAGAACCAACCAAAGAGTTTGGTTGGATGGACAACAACAAAATGGACTTTCAAGGTTGGATGCCAGGAAAGAAGCCCACAGAAAACGACTTGGTTGAAGAGGAAGTGAGATGTTTAGCAATACAATGGACACCATCTCCCGCTCCAGCCACACCAAGTGGACTTTACTGGCAAGCCAGAGGGTAATAGTAGAAATGTACAAATTATATCCATATATTCAAAGTGTCTAAAAATAATAGATTTTGTAAAATACCTACCTATAGACGTCCATCATTATGAGGGACAGTATTTATTGACTAGATTTGTCCGTCAGTCCACATTTACTGTCCTCCATTCACGCAATTGTGCAGCTCTGAACTGTTCAAGAACGCGATACTTTCACTCCATTCAATTGAGTCATTAAGTTCAGAACTGTTCCGCGCCATATGGAGGCATCAGGCTATCGCGCGCAGCTCCTTTCAGACCCGTTCTCGAATAGCCCAGGGCGTAAAACTCTGGAGCTTGAATTCGCGAATGGAGGACAGCAACTCTCTGTCCAAATGTTCGTCAATTAAATTCAATACCTTCAAAACTATTTTTGAAGTTGGAACCTTTGGTATACCAACAGTAAAAATAAAACATCATCAGCAGGTGATTAAAACTAAACTAATATTTACAAATTAAGCGTTTATACAGGTACTCTGTTGGTATTGGCAAAATCAGCCAAGCGAAACAAAACTAATCTAGCGTGATAATTACTTACCGAAACTTAAAAATTTATTTTGACGTTTTCATATACCTCTAATTGCTTGTAATTTGTGACATGTTTGATTAATTGTAAATTATTCACATAAACACAATGACAAAATAAAACACTAAATCACCACAATACACCAAAACACTTTTACTTTTGCACTGGACGCGCGTTCAGCATCATCAGCAGATTATTAAAACTGTTTTAATCATCTGCTAATGACGCTAACATGGTGAAAAACACAAGATTTATCTGCTCTTCCATATAATATTGATCTTCTAGTTTCCCAATATATTATTTGATTACAATCTTTATACATGAAACTTCATAAATACCCGACCTTTCCAGTGGAGATTTTTTTTTACCTTTGGATTACCTAATACTTGCTGTAATTGAAAATTAGAAGTGTTTCATCAAATTAAGACAATGAATGAAAATAAGGAATAATTGAATTTTTGAGCCTGTTTTCAGAAACACTAAGAACTATCCTAATATCTTTTCGTAAAGTAATGTTTTTAAAATTATTCCCTAAAACGTTTAATTTTGTATTTATTGTACTATTTTTATTCAGTTGCAACCAAGTGGGAGGCTACGTATGCAAGAGAAAACGAGAAGCTTTGGATTCACGAATTAATTTCAACAGAACATTGAATGCTTCTGAAGGAACACTAACCACACCAAATTATCCCAAAAACTACTACAACAACCTGGATTTTTTAGTGCGTATCGTAGGTCCAGAACGTTCCAGGCTCAAAATCAGGCAAGTACTCTGACTTCAAACAATGTACAGTGTGTTTGTTTTTTGTCCCCCTTTTAAATGGCTAGAACTTTTTATTTTTGGAGATTAAACATTCATTTAAAAAAATATAATTTATACAAAAAAAAATAAGAAAATAAAAAAGAATTAATTATTTTTTAATCAATCCTGTAGATTTCACAAGATTGACATCGAATCTCAACCTGACTGTCTCTACGACTATGTCGAGCTGAAATCGGTGACCAAAGGAGTTGACAGATCAACAGATGACAGGAAGAAGTTGTGTGGCAGTCACAGCAGTCAGATGCAACGGTTTAATTTTGTATCTCAAGCAAACGAAGTTGAAGTTAGATTTCATTCGGATTATTCAATTACTGGCAGTGGGTAAGTTATCTTAAATTAACTTAATTTTATAGAAATATTATGTCGCAGTTTTTTCAATAGTGTTGATATTTTCCTTCCAATGATGAATAAAACAACTAACCACTGATTGGCACAAAAAACGCCACGTTAAAATTTTTCGAAATTTTTTGTCTGGCAAGATTCATAGATTAAGGTTCAATATACAGGGTGGTCCGAAATGTATTTTGGAAACCTCGGCAGCATATTCTGCAGATAAAAATAAGCTAAAGATTTCGTATAGATGTATGTTCTAAAATGCTTAATGAGATACAGGGTGTAAAAATTTCATTTTTATTTTGATTTTTTCCGAATAATCTATGAAGTAAAGTCAATATTTGGATGAAAATTGGTGTCAGGGTTTTATTTTTGACATGAGAAATTTGTTTTTATGTCAATGTGACTTCTATTTGTAGAGGGCGCCACCTAAATGTATTTTAAATGTTGTGAATAGTAATAACTTTTCGTCCATACCTGTATAAAACTACTGAGTGAAAAAAAATATATTTTCATGATTTTCTAGAGATACAGGGTGTAAAAGTTTCATTTTTATTTCGATTTTTTCCAAATAATCTCTAAAGTAACGTCAATATTTGGATGAAAATTGGTAGATGGGTGTTTTTTGACATGAGAAATTTGATTTTCATGTCAATATGACCCCCATTTGTAGGTGGCGCCACCTACATGTGTTTTAACTGTTTTGAATAGTAATAACTTTTCGTCCATACCTGTATAAAACTACTGAGTGAAAAAATATATATTTTCATGATTTTCTACGTAAAAAATATCTCTTGGTAAAATACTATCAATGTGCAGTAAGGAACGCAACGTTTACCGGCAGCCAGACGGGCCGCATGCTGTTCTAGAGAGCATATTTATTAAAAGATATATCAAAGAGTCAGACGTCTTAAGATACTTGTTTTTCCGACGTTGCTAGCTCTCGTACTACAAACGATATAGAATACGTTTTATCTTAAATATTAAAATCATTGTAGGTATTTTATCTTTTTCAACCATTTTTTCCGAATGTTTTTTTTTCTGATATTACAGTTCATTCTATAAAAACACTTTCCCGGTTAGATATTTTTGCTTTTTGGCTTTATTCAGTAGCATTAGATTTCATGTAATGAAGAAGGGCTTTGTTTGAAGAGCCTTGACCTTTTCCCAGTTAAGTCTAAGGGTATAAATTCGTTATCGACAGCGTAGGAGGGTCTTAGTTTTAATTCCTGCTTGTTTCGCCAGACCGCACATCATCTGGAAACGGGAGATGCTGAAGAGATAATGGAGAAGGGATAGTGTCTGTCAATTAAAAGTAATTTGGTGGGTTTTTATTTCGAAAAAAAAGATGGGTCAAAACCCTTATAACTGTTTCTAGAATGTTCTAGTACAGTTTTCAAGAACGTCTTCAGGGTGAACCAAGGTTTCTTAAAGGTGAAATACTACATATTTTAAATATTTTTCCATATATACTGGGTCTATTAGGGTAGAGAGAAGAGACAGTCTAATAAATAACACAGCACTGGAATTAGAAGCTGAAATATATATATATATATATATATATATATATATATATATATATATATATATATATATATATATATATATATATATATATATATATATATATATATATATATATATATATATATATATATATATATATATATATATATATATATATATATATACAGGGTGTTTCAAAACAAATGCGAAAAACTAACTTCAGGGGGCGATTCCTTGTTCAAAATAAAGGGTAGTTTGCCTCATAAACGTTGGGTCAAAAGTCAACCATTAGGGAGATATCGCGGTACAAAGATGGCGGAAAAATAAAGTTTTTATTTTTTATCTTGAAAACGAAAAGGGATAGACTAATAAAATTTTATGGAAGCATTACTGTTATGAAAACACACCTTCTGGTAATTTTTTCACTTTTTTAAAATGAGTGGAAGGGGTTGAAATAAACTACCCCTATCATACTTGTTAACGAAATTTAAAGAAAAATCTTATCAAACACATGCAAATACTTTAATTTGGATAGTTTAGTTTGTTTAGAAACTTTTTTATCTCTTATGTTTTTTTGATAAAACTCACCGATTTGAAATTAAAAAATAAAATGTAAAGCATTACATGTCAGGACAAAAAACATTTTCTGATAAAGAATCTAGTGGGCTGCTGTAATTTTTTTAGGGAAAAATCTAGTCGGCCGCTGTTACTTTTTAGGATGTTCCTAATATTATTTTATTTGACATTACTCTACTGCTATACGTTATTATCTAGATGATTATTATTATCGTTATTATCACTAGATTCTTAATCTAAAAATGTTTTTTGTCCTGACATGTAATGCTTTACATTTTATTTTTTAATTTCAAATCGGTGAATTTTATCAAAAAAACATAAGAGATAAAAAAGTTTCTAAACAAACTAAACTATCCAAATTAAAGTATTTGCATGTGTTTGATAAGATTTTTCTTTAAATTTCGTTAACAAGAATGATAGGGGTAGTTTATTTCAACCCCTTCCACTCATTTTAAAAAAGTAAAAAAATTACCTGAAAGTGTGTAAAAAAAAGTAATAAAATTTCATTAGTCTATCTCTTTTTGTTTTCAAGATAAAAAATAAAAACATTAATTTTCCGCCATCTTTGTACTGCGATATCTCCCTAATGGTTGACTTTTGACCCAACGTTTATAAAGCAAACTACCCTTTATTTTGAACAAGGAATCACCCCCTAAAGTTTTTCGCATTTGTTTTGAAACACCCCTATATATATATATATATATATATATATATATATATATATATATATATATATATATATATATATATATATATATATATATATATATACAGGGTGGTCCGAATTGTATTCCGGAAACTTCGGGAGCATATTCTGCAGATAAAAAGAAGTAAAAAACTTCATATAAATGCATGTCCTAAAATGCTTAGTTTCGGAGATACAGGGTGTAGAAGTTTCATTTTTATTTCGATTTTTTCAAAATAATTTCTGAAGTAAAGTCAATATCTGGATGAAAATTGGTGTCTGTTAGTTTTTTGACATGAGAAATTTGATTTTGATGTCATTATGACTCCTATTTGTAGAGGGCGCCACCTACCTGTGTTTTAACTGTTTTGAAGAGTAATAACTTTTTGTCCGTATCTGTATAGAACCGCGAACCTGAGTGAAAAAATATTCATTTTCGTATTTTTTTAAGTAAAAAATGTCTCTTGGTAAAAATCGTTACGAGCAACCCTTCTCGAGATATTTAGAATGGGAATAGTCAATACATGTCATTATTGACAAAAAATAAACATGTTGAGTAGATAGTTATTTGACTAAAAAGATAAATTTAGAAAACTTTTATTTTTTTAAATTGATGATAAAATTTTCTTCGAAAAAATGATGATTGATGATGGTTTGGCACAAAAACATTTCAAATTTATGATTTCCCTCTATTAACTATTTAGACAACATGTTTAATTTATGTCAATGATAACAGGTATTGATAATTTCGATTTCAAATATCTCGAGAACTGTTACTCGTAGCGATTTTTATTAAGAGATCCTTTTTACGTTAAAAACGTCGTAAATGTATATTTTTTTACTTGGTAGTTTTATACAGGTAAGGACGAAAAGTTATTACTCTTCAAACCAGTTAAAAATATGTAGGTGGCGCCCTCTACAAATAGGAGTCATATTGATATCAAAATCGAATTTCTCATATCAAAAAACTCCCAGACACCAAATTTCATCCTAATATTAATGTTACTTCAAAAATTATTTGGAAAAAATCGAAATAAAAATGAAATTTCTACACCCTGTATCTCCAAAACTAAGCATTTTAGGACATACATTTATAAGAACTTTTTGACTTATTTTTATCTGCAGAATATGCCGCTAAAGTTTCCGGAATACAGTTTGGACCATCTTGTATATACAGGGTGAGTTTCCTACGATGTTCTCTATGGGTATCTTGGAAACTACTGGAGATAGAGAGTCGGTTAAATAGGGAAAGAATTGCAGTTTTGTGGGATCATAAATATGCGCCTTTCAGATTTTTGAAAAGGTCCATGGCTTACTAGATATTTCGAAAAAAACAAATTTTGGCTATTTTAAAAATTGTCCCTAATTCCATTATAATATATTTTAGACAAAATGTTTTCAGATAAAAGTTGTAGATACTTACATCCCTAATGAGTTTGTGTTCTCCGATTTTTTCTAAAGTCTGTCATTTTTGACATATGACACAAACATATGTTTATTTAAATGGAAACCGTAGTTGGCTATAACTTAATAAAAAGCGCCATTTTTTAAGCTTTTCAGCGATATAAGCTACAATATGTTTTTTTCGAAGCAATACTGAGTTATAGCCAATTCTTTTAATTTTTAAACAATTTCACTTAGTTAGCCATGGAAACAAGTTCAATCGTCGTTGCTATCAGTCAAACTGTCACATACAAACTTTGTAAATTAAAATAACCAAAAATTTTAAATATGAATTTTTCAAATGAAGAAAAGCGTGTAGGATTATTAGTTCAACTTTTTCTTGGTCATACATTTTCGAGGATAGTTACATAGGGTTTTTAGAGAACGGTTTTCAAGACATGTTAGAAAAGTTAAATTTAGAGACTCGCGCATCAATAGAGTGGTTCCAACATAACTTTCATTATGACCCCCCCCCTCCATAATGAAAAAAATGTTAAAAATTATTTATATCGTACTTATTTAAACTCAAAGATAGGAAGAGGTGGACCAATTGCATGGGCCTCCTCTCAATTGGACTCGGACTCAATTGCATGGACCTGACCTGTCTATTTTAGATTTAGATTATGCAGTATATTTTTTGAATATTTCCTAAAATAACTTAAACTGTATGTAGCGATATTATTTTTTAAGTTTAAGCTTGTGTAATGTAAATTGTAAAGAATTGTTTAATAAAATATTCTGTGTTTTTATAAGTCATAAATTATAATAATTAAATAAATAACATAATAGAATATACCATGCCAACTAAGTGAAATTAACCAAGAAAGATAAGAATTGGCTATAACTCAGCAATTTTTCCAAAAAAAACATATTATTGCTTATATCGGTAAAGAGCTTAAAAAATGGCGCTTTTTATGAAGTCATGGCCAACTATGGTTTCCATTTAAAAAAACACAAGTTTGTGTCATATGTCAAAAATGACAGGCTTTAGAGAGAAACGGGGAACACAGTCTCATTAAGGATGTGATTATCTACAACTTTTATCTGAAAACTTTTTGTCTATAATAGATTATAATGGAAATAGAAACCATTTTTAAAATAGCCGAAATTTGTTTTTCTCGAAATATCTAGTAAGCCATGAACTTTTTCAAAAATCTGAAAGGCGCATATTTATGACCCCACAAAACTGCAATTCTTTCCCCATTTAACCGAGTCTCTATCTCCAGTAGTTTCCGAGATACCCATAGAGAACATCATAGAAAACTCACCCTGTATATTTGGAACAACAAATACACAGCTAGAAATAAAGCAACGAATATACTTTTACCTTTTTGTTTTTGGTAATAGAAAAAGTTGTTACACATAAATCGAAGAATGAAGAATATGGCACCCAACTTGGGGCCATATTTTTATTTTTTTAAATATTTTATTTTTCGAATATTTTTTGAATGTTTTTCTATGCATATGAGAGGTCATATACTAATCGAAAAAAAAACAAAAATTTTTTTTATTTTAAAATTGAGAAACTTTGCCATAATTTGAACTCATAGTTTTCGACATCCCAACGATCACCCTCAAATTTGGGATGCCCGTTACATAACTAACTTTCGAGAAAACAATATTGTACTATGTAACTTAAAATATAAATGTGTAAAATGACAATATTATGATTGAAAATATAAAACATATTGCGTGCTTTTCATGTACTCCATATAATTTGTTTAAATTTATAATAATTATTTATTTATTTCTATACTGTTTTCTACGATTTTTTTACAGATTTTCTCTTGGCTGGCATTTCGTGGACGTATCAGCCTGTCCCACGCAAACCCTGACAGCCCGCGAAGGAACTATAACCAGTCCAAACTACCCAGATGGTCTGCTATCCCATCTGGATTGTTCAGTCATCATCCAGGCAGCTCCTGGCAAGAAATTGTGGCTAGAATTCACAGATGCTGATCTGGAATCAAACAATAGCGATCGGAAAAGTTTGAATAGGGAGGCAATTCTGGAACTGCAATTAGGAAAAGGACTCGAATATTTCGAACCATTTCAGGTGGATAGTTTGTTGACAGAAGGTAATTTTTTTTTTAAAATTATTTTTTAAACTATTAACATTGATCTTGAGAAGGATAGGTGTATACCGGGTACGTCTCAAAAGTGGCTCACCCCTATAACTTAATCCTCAATGGTTATGTGTCTAGCGATAAACAACGAAGCTATTGCGGTTCCAGTGACAGATATTTAATTTTCTGTTACGCTTTAAATCATTTCCGCTGGCATAGCTTCGTCTTTGTCCGACATTCTTCATTCTCCTGCGGAAAGTCGCCATCAATCGGTCCATTCTTAAAGACGTTTTACCTAATACGGTAAGCGATCGAAAAACATGTATGCTGAAGTGTATAATAGTTAAGACGAAATACGACGTTCTGAACCAGACAGCCACGTAACGGTTGTTGTACGACCGAGTGTCGCACAAATATACAGGATTTTTTTTAATATTGTTGTTTCGATAATAGTTGATTTGTTTTAAACGTATACAGAATATGTATACATATAACTTTTTTATTTTTCCAGATAAAAAAAACGAGATTTGGTATGTTAGTATATGACATAAATTGGGATTGATTGACGTATTCAATTGTTTTTGGTCACTTCCTGTTTCACCGGAAATGACTACAACTTTTGATTTTTAAATGACACCTTAGGTATTTTTTTACTTTATTTGATAGAAAATGATATTCTGAATAGAATGACATATCATATGTAAACTTTTGACGTTCTCACTTAATAATAAATAGTATTTTAAATTTCAGTCTAGAGTGCCATGGCTATGTTAAAAACATTATATATGTATATATTCTTAATCAAGGAGCATACATATATTCTTAAACAAGGAGCTTTGGAAAAATAGATTTGATCGTCTAATGTTTTAGTGTCTTGTCCTGGCCGGTTAAAAGATGCCCAAATCGTATTTTTAATCATATCTCAATTTTTTCAAATGGAACGAGGGTGGCTCATTATCATATTTGGAAAAGGCATTTTTTTACGAATAATTTGATACCACGCACTTGGTATTTCGAGTCAAATTTTCGTTACGAACCACAAGTTATAATTTCAAATAAACCATATGCGAAAATGTCACATGTTGACATATGATATGTCATTCTATTCAGAGTGTTATTTTCTCTCCAATAAAGTAAATAAATACCTAAGGTGCCATTTAAAAATCAAAAGCTGTAGTCATTTCGTAAAACAGGAAGTGACAGAAAACAATTGAATACGCTAATCAATCTTAATTTATGTCATATACTAACATACCAAATCTCGTTTTTTTAACTGAATAAATAAAAAAGTTATAAGCGTGAGCGACTTTTGAGACGCACCAAATATATTAATCTACAACCTTTAGAAAGAAAGAAATAGGTTAAAGTTTTGTGTAACAACTTACGGCATAACTTTATCCACGAAGTTTATAAGATATGAGACCATTATTAGTTTTCATAATATATCTTAGTATGAGACACGTTTTTTTGAAGTGAAACTTCTTTACCCGCGTTGGGAGTAAAAATTCAAGGCCGTGACACACGAGCTACCCAGAGGAAAAGTGGTAATGGCAGTGTTGCCATAGCCACCCCATTCGGGGTAGATCTATCCCTTTATAAAACAATTTAACCCCGCTATCTCGTGATAATCTACCCCGATGAAAAATAAGCTTGTGGCAACACTGGGTAACGATCTGTACCATACGCGGCTAAGAAAATAACTATAATAAACTTGATACTGTACCAACCTTGATGTGTACCAGTATCCTCTGATTGTGTGCTAGGAAGTAAATTTTTATGCATATTTTTATAGATAGGTTTGTAGATTCTGAATAACGGTCTAGGTAAAGCTCATTTACCAGCTTAGAATTAGAATTTAGAGTTAGTAACTCATATTTTCATTGGAAGACACTGTAATATTTATTTTAAGCCATATAGCATATAATCAACGAGAATATTCGTATAATTTAATAAAATTACTGTAAATCACTATAAATAATGAATAATAAACAAAACATTTAAACAAAAACAGACAACAAAAAACAATTTGTTGGTTAGTAGTAGCCAGAGATATAGATGTAATAAAATTTTGGTTTAATGGCCACAGCTGCCAGAGCTATCCGGTCAGGTGATAAAAATATAATTTTTTAAAAAAATTAAAAAAAAGATTATAAAATTATAAATCAAGAGTATACTACTCTATTTTTACTCGATTTTATATTAATTTTAATTTTTTTGAAGTTTATAAAAAGCATTCATAAAAAAATCTTTCAATTTAATAGCTATTAGTAAGAAGTTTCACTTCAAATATGCGCACATAGTGCACACACTGTTTTTTTTGGTTTATAAAATACAACTTTTTTTATGGTTACTATTTTGGTAGTTCCCCTAAGTACTGTAGTAATTTATTAAAATGGCAATTACAGTTAGGCTAAAATAACCATTTCTATAATTTAATTACATTGATTTAGGAAATTTTCTCTGTAGACATTTTTTATTCCTATAATTAATTGTTTTCAGGATGTTATGTTTCTATTGGTGAACAGTTAAAAATAAGACTAAAAACAGGACCGAAACCTAGAGGGAGAGGTTTTCAGGCCATCTACAAGACTTTAGACGAATTTTCCTTAAAAGAAAAAGTCGTTATGCTAGCCAATGATACTTCAGGTAATAATTTAAGCTTTTATGATTAAATAAATCGTTATTTTCCTCATTTACTTTCATAAAATAATTGTAAATTAGTATTTATATAATTTTTTCTACAAAATAATTACAGGAAATGGTTATCTTTAATTTTAGTATGTTTTATAATAAAACTATTACTAATCATCTCTTGAAAAATATTACAAAATCAGAAGAAAAAAAATAATCTCCTAAACTTGACTATCTGAAATACCGGGTGCGTCTCAGAAGTGGCTCACCCCTATAACTTTTTTATTTTTTCAGTTAAAACAACGAGATTTGTTATGTTAATATATGACATAAATTAGGATTGATCGACGTATTCAATTGTTTTCGGTCACTTCCTGTTTCACCGGAAATGACTACAACTTTTGATTTTTAAATGGCACCCTAGGTATTTTTTTACTTTGTTTGATAGAAAATGACACTCTGAATAGAATGGCATATGGTATGTCAACTTTTCACATTTTTACATATGGTTTATTTGAAATTATAACTTCGGTTCGTAACGAAAATTTGACTCAAAATACCAAGTGTGTGCTATCAAATTATTCGAAAAAAATGCTTTTTCCAAATACACTAATAAGCCACTCTCGTTCGATTTGAAAAAATTGAGATATGATTAAAAATACGATTTGGGCTTCTTTAACTAGCCAGGACAAGACACTAAAAACGTTAGACGATCAAATCTATTTTCCAAGGCTCCTTGATTAAGAATTAGTGTTTCCATAGCTATGGCATTCTAGATTGAAATTTAAAATAGTATTTTTTATTAAGCGAGAATGTCAAAAGTTTACATATGATATGTCATTCTATTCAGAATATCATTTTCTATCGAATAAAGTAAAAAAATACCGATGGTGTCATTTAAAAATCAAAAGTTGTAGTCATTTGCGGTGAAAGAGGAAGTGACCAAAAACAATTGAATACGTCAGTCAATTCCAATTTATGTCATATACTAACATACCGAATCTCGTTTTTTTATCTGAAAAAATAAAAAAGTTATAGGGGGTGAGCCACTTTTGAGACGCATCCGGTATATAGAGCTTAGAAATAATGACACTTGAAGATTTGCATATTCTTTAAAATAAATGTTATTTTTCTTTATGCTTGTTCCGATCGAAAAAACGGCGTCAAAAAGATTGTAATTTATTTTTATATCGAGTAAAAATGATTTTTAAATGGTGTAGTTATAAATTAGAGATAGAAAAAATAAGGTTTCGGAAATATATTTGTGTGTCTGGAAACGTTCTTTAATCTTTCTATAATTAGTTCTATTTCTTTCTCTATTTCTAAAGAATTTCTATGTTTTTTGTCAATTTTTAGCAAAGCCTTCTTTGACGGCGTTTTTTTGTCGATCATACGGTATTTTTAAAACAATATAATTCATTAATAGGTCAACTTCTTCATCTTAACTATCCACAAAACACTCCAGAAAACGTCGAACTACTACAACGCTTCATAGCACCTTTAGGCCACATAATATCCATGGCATTCCACGCCGTCAAGCTAAGCGACCACACCTGTGACGACAACAGAGGCACCATCGAAGTCTTCGACAACTATTCTGACGTCAACGGTACACTTTGGAGGTTATGTTTCGAGAAATACCCCTCAGAACTACCGCCTGTCCATATCAAGTCGTTTTTGAACAGTGTACAGCTGCGTCAGAAGTCGGATAGTCACGGGAACTCACTGAATGGCACTTTGAAGGTTTTGAGGGATAAGGAGTATGTGAAGAAGTTGATCGGTTATAGGAACAGGGGTGTTGAATCGTGCAGGCCGAATCCGTGTCAAAATGAGGGAAAATGCGTTAACAAGAAGTCCAAGAAGATGTGTCAGTGTGTAGGGCATTTTACAGGTATGTAAATAGTTATTTTTTATACAAGACGATAATGCAATTTTATCGTCGTGTATAAAACAACATTTTTTTCCATAGCGAGTTACGTTTTAAAAAATATTCAGAAATTATTATTTCAAGGAATTTATTACGAGGAGAAAAAATATTGTGCTGGGTTGGCGTTGGTTTATATGTAATTTGACAAATAAATAAAGCTGTCTCTTTAGTTGTCAGTTTTGAGTCAATATTTTTTAATTCTCTTTCGTATCGATTGCTGATTGAATTGGAGCCAGAAACGGCTCAAAACGAAATAAGTAAATTACCAACAGATATTCAAGCTGAGGCGACATATCCAAACTACTTCCATTTAAATCCCGAATAACTTATAAAAAGAATACAAACATTTTCAAAAACGGAAGCAATTAAAAAACGTGCGAGAAGAAATAAAGTTTTTAACCTATCCTCGCTGTTAGAGTATCATTTAATCTACCCTTGCGGTTAAAGTACTATTTTATCTACTATTTTTGATAGATATAAGGCGATTTTAACAGTTACTATGGAAAAAATAAAAAAAGGACTACAAATAAGGAAAATTTTAAAATCAGTTTTGCATCATGTCGTGCTGGCAACTCTTACTTTTGGATCGGTATTTACATGTGTGGAAGTAGATCGCATAGGGATCTTATTAAGTCGAGTGAGAGAAATGCGACGGTAAGCTGTTGCGGCGTTGCCATATTTCTCCGGTACGCTTTTCTCTATCAAATAAAGTAAAATCACGATCGCAAACCGCTTATTTTTAAAAGACTGTTATTTTCGAAAAGATAACTAAATAAAACCATTAGATATGTTTCTGAGTATCTGAAATAGAATTATAAGGATATCGTTAATGCGTCCATTTTTTTATAACAAAAAAACGTCAGTAATCGCGACAATTTAAAAACTCAACTTTTTAAGATATAAAACGCGATAACTCAAGAACTACTGTAGATATTGAAACTATTTTTTATTTTGAAGTTCGGATCTTTAACAAGATGTTTAAATAAGAAAAAATCGATTGGCTTTTTTTTCATTCAAAATTTTAAAAAAACCCCATCCGTTTACTTTTAGTGCATTACAATTTTCAGCAATCGTGTAACTTTTTTATTTATAAAGATTTTCACATACTGTCTGCGAAGAAAACATAGCAGAAATATTAAGAAAAATTTTGAAAAAACTACAATCAATTATTTCTAATGGATTTCGAGATATCGATTTTTGAATTCAAAGTTCTAATAGCGCGACAACTGTCGAACACCAACTCAATTCCACTTATTTTTACCAAAAGTGCAAGTGTTTATAACTTGCACTTAAAAATTTACAAGCTATAGGAAAAATTACAACGACTCGTTAATAAATAAACAAATAAAGTATCACAAGACGTAATTAAATCGTGAAGCTGAACGCATGATGTACACTTTTCCCCAGAATTTTAAGTACTGATATGGTACTGATTGGGTCGACCGGTTGACCCCGATGAATCTGCTATATCCCCTTCCACGGTCTTAGCCATGTGCACAGTTTCTCGGTTTATTTCATACGTTTGGCAACGTTTTTACTGTTCTCTCTTTATTCAGTACATTATAAACGCATTGTATTCTTCTTACATACGGAAATCTTGACCCAAGACTAACCTTTGCCAGCCCTTAGTATACCGATCTGGTCATCGAAACTGCGTGGCCTAGATTTTAACGTGTAAGACAATGATGCAGACAGCTTAAATGAAAAATCAAACATATGAGATAGATAAAAATTGGGTTGATACATTTCTTCTATGCGGATTTTACATCAAAATTTCAAATACGTACAAGTAGGAGGGTACAAAATCCACAAGTTGGGGTTATCAAACACTCAGACTCATTTTCTTTTGTAGTTTATTTAAAAGAAAGTTATTTCTTAGGGTTGTTCTGCGCGGTGACCCAATGTGATTTGGAACCTTGCGTCTTCGGAACTTGTGAACTGACCAATACCAGCTACAAATGTCACTGTCGATCGGGGTATTCCGGTCCCACCTGTGAACAAAAACGAAAACCTTGTGAAGGGAATCCATGTGAGAGCAGAGGAATGTGCATAGAGAAGGGAGATGGGTTTCAGTGTAGATGCCACGCCTGGTGGGAAGGTAGAGTATAGAGTCTATAAAAAATATTTTTTCGTTACAATTATTTCTTTCTTTACATTTGACTTTTTATCGTTTTTAAAGTAAAGTCTGTCCGACCGTATCAGAGAAGACAAAATCTACCTGTGAATTAAAATGACAGACGCATCTATCACTGTCATGTCTTCTCTCATTGTACTAGAGAAGAGTTATTTAAATAAAAAGATTAAGGAAGGAGCATATCAAATATCATAGAAAGCGACGGTGTCCGAAAATGGCTGACTTAAGTTCCGGTTTATCAGTGCCGCACTGTGGTCAATTTTTAAAAATTAACAGGAAAATATTAAAAAATCTGATGAGGCTAAGCGGCGTCAAAAACTCCATAAGTAGGCTTTGAAATAGTTGCTAAGCACATTTCATTAACAAATATGTCAAAGGTCGTTGCGAATTTACTGTTATTTTGATTGAAAATGTAGTATAGTTGACACACTAAACTAAATAATCTTGTTATTTGCACATGAATAAAGTTTTTAATTTGGGTATTCCGTGCAAAAAGTTATATGTCATTAATACTATCTAAAATGGAAAGAGCAATTGTTGGTGGTAAGTTTTTTGACATTAATGTTCTTCTGTTGAGTATTAAATATGAGTAAATAATTTTGATATGGTTAGATTTTTTTTTAAATTATTAGAATATACATTTTTTTAATGAACTAGCAGAAACAAGTCTTATGAGGTTTCAGTTTTAAATAAAGTTAAGTTGATAGTTAAACCATTAGACAACTTTACCAAACCTACAAATTTACCGGCCTAGTCCGTCTGTTAAGTCCAGGCCATTTTTTAGGACGTATTGCCCAGATTAAACGCTTGGAAGTTGTTGACTTTTTAAAAGCAACTGTTAGCAAAATCTGTAAGATCCATAGTATTATTCTTAGAATATGATAATTTTTAAATATCTAACATATGCAAATGATCGCGACCAAAATCTATTTAAAATAAAAAATAACGAAACTTTTCCAAGTTTTTAATTATTATACACCCTGTATACGACCTGTTTTTATTAATTATATTATTAATGTAATTTTATGATACCTAACATATAAAATCGGATATAGTTATTAATCAAAGTTAAGTAATTTTCACTAATATTTTTTTCCGGCTAACTTGACAAAATGGACCACAGTGTGCCGTTCTATTTTTTTCAAAAGTTCAAAACGTGTAAAAATATGATGTAGAGATTCGATAATGTGTTGTTTTATTTTAATTTGTCAATAAATGTTAGTAGTTATTAAAATTGTTATAAAAATATATAATTCTAATAAAAATAGATAATTTATAATAATTATTTATTAACACAAACATACGATACGCTACTGAAGTCAGTAAGTGAAATTGATGTATCCAAATTCTTTGACATCTAATCTTTGACAAGTAGTAATATAATAATGGAATAACTTTTCGCCTAGTAAGTCAATAGTCTAAGAGCTAGCAACGTTTTCGAGTAAGTATTTTAAGACGTCTGGCTCTTTGATATATCTTTTACTATGCTCTCTGGAACAGCATGCGGCCCGTCTGGCTACCGATACCCGTTGCGTTCACTACTGTGCATCGGAAGAAGACATATATTTTTTATTAATTTAGTCCTATAAATTCTAGTATTGAATATAAATCGAACATGTCTCCATAGCGCAGTGCGTAGAGTTTCCGACCACGAACCGATGATTCAGAATTCGAATCCGGGTCAGGGCAAACACTTTTTTATTTTATTTTTGTTTGTATTCTGATAGTAAAGTATTAAATAATTTTGGTAATTTAAAAAAAACAAATATTTAATACTTTACTATCAGAATATAAACGAAAATAAAATAAAAAAGTCTTTGCCCTGACCCGGATTCGAACTCTACGCACTGCACTATGGAGACATGTTCGATTTATATTCAATACTAGAATTTAAAGGACTAATAAAAATATAGGATCTTCTCTCACAACGTTTACCGGCAGCCAGACGGGCCGCATGCTGTTCTAGAGAGCATAGTAAAAGATATATCAAAGAGCCAGACGTCTTAAAATACTTGTGTTTCCGACGTTGCTAGCTCTCGTACTGTTATATCACATATATCTTGTTTTAAAACATTTGTTCTTGCATTTCTGCTTTTATTTACTGCTTGTCAAAGATTAGATGTCAAAGAATATAGGCTGTATTCCATTGCAAAACCAAACCAAACCAAACCGGTAAACTACGGTAAAGAGCGGTTCCTGAAAAACATCGATTTGATACGGAATGGTTTGGTAAAATACTGGAAACGTCAAATGTTGACGATTTCTAAATTTCAATACCTCTATTCTAAAATTTATCTTTTATGCATTTTTAATGTACCTATTTTCTGCTTTTGCGTTTGCAATTGTTGTTTTCAATGGAGTTTAATATCGAAAAGTACTTTATTAATAAACTGTTAAACTCGTTAGACAACTCAAGTGAAGATTTGCAGGTCCAATATTAAAACAGATCAATAATAAATAAACAAATCTAATCAATATTTATATTTTTATAGCTTACAAAACATTCACGATTACTTGTCTTGTTTCTCGTGTTTTCTTAAATGGTCCTAAAAAGTCATTCTATTTAGTTAATGAAATTTATTTACCTTTACTGCCTACCTCCATTGCTTTTGGATGTAAATACAAAATATTATTACAAATTTATTAAATGAAAATTTCACTGAAACTTCCAATATTTGCTTGATTTCTGTCACATAAATGACATTGATTGAGAAACAAAACCAGAAAAACCAGCCTTCTCGAGCAGGTTAGTTTGGTGACAGTCATAACCGAATTTTTCAGGAACCGTGTTCCGTAATAATAAAACTTTCAAGAAACCGATAGAAACGGAACATAAAACCATAACCAAGCAACGGAATACACCCTTAGATACGCCAATTTGACTGTGATTTGACATTTATGGATTTTACTTACTTGCTTCAGTAGCGTATCGGATGTTTGTGTTAATAAATAATTATTATAACTTATCTATTTTCGGTTATTATCAATGCCGGGCTATTTCAGTCAAAGTTCAGTAATTCCTGTTTTGTGGTTTTTCTTTCGCAGGTGCGAGATGCGAGAAAAAGATGCTTCGCATTCCTTACAAGCCTCTCAGTGAGAGAATGTTGCACGAACCATTTTGGCTTGGTTTGATGACGGTTTTCGTCGTTATGGGAGTTATCGGATTGGTGTGGTGTGCCAAAAGGCATTTTCCGGAGAAAATCGAAAAATTGTTGGCTGAGGATGACAACAGAAATAGAAGTAAGTTTCTTCGTTAATTTAGTTACTTACCTAGTTAGTTACTGTTAGATTTTAATTGATAACAGCCAGTAATATAAAGGGTGTTCCTTAATAACATGCTAATATTTAAGGGGGAGAGGGGTGATTCTTAGACTTATTCTACGGAAAAAAAAAATAATCTGCGACGTCGCACAGTGCGGCGGATAGTAATAATACTGGGAAACACATCTTTAAAACCTTTTAATTTTAACGCATTCCTAAGGCTGGTTCAAGTTGGTATTGAGCTTGTGTTAATTTCAAATCTGTAAATACAGCCAGAACTTCATCAGGAGAAAAATTGCTGAATTGAATATTAGTGTCATTCTTGGTTTTTTTTTTGCACTCAGTGCTTTTCGATGGAGTTTCAGTTAAAGTTTCAACGACACAACAGCATCCCTACTCCTACTAGCCCTAAAGCTCAAAGTAGTTGCAAAACCCAATTCTTCTTTTGAATGCTCTTCTATTAACCCTTTAACAAGTCTTTGTTTCGTTTTTATGAACTAGCAGATTGAAATGAAACTTTTGGGGGTTAAGCTTGAGCTCCCTGTGACTAGTAAGATGCCTTCTAGCTACGATTTATTATATTTGCAAAACTTGTTTAAGGAAAAGCAACTTTTTTCCACTTTCGATATAAAACAATGAAAAATGATCGCAGCTGGATCTCAACAGATCGTCACTAAGAGAAATGAGATCCAAGAATTGCATCACAACATCCCACAAAACGGTCAAACTGGTCTTAGATGTTGGTTTTAAAACATCTTTTATCTTGAGGGCTTCAAAAAATTCTTGGCGGCTGAACCGGTGACTTCTAAAAATTATGTTTTTTTCAACCTAACCCAACCGGTAAAAATAAATATGGGCATGGATACTACAAACATTCTAGCATCAAAATTGCTTACTACTTTTTGGTAACTATTGGGAACGCAAAAGATCTACATCATTCAATATATCGATGTTTGAAAAAAAAGTGCAAGTTTGATATCTGCAGAACAAAGGTACGAAATATTTTAACGAGTAATGACTACATTATAATAGTTACGGACCCGTGTGAACTCGGCCTAAGACGCCCGGTGCCGTTCGAGAGTGTGTTCGAGAACAAATAAAAGCTGGTGAGAACGCGGCTAAGAATTTTCGAGTCAAATCGGGACTGTCTGTTTCTCTCATATATAAGCCGCCGCCCCAAGCCTGAAGAGGACAGAGAACAAGCAGACGTTCGACGTGTACAGTGGCCCCGCTAAATTCAAAATAAATTCCTGTTAGATAAATAGTTAGATAAACAGTAAATAAGTTGTAAATAGTACTTTAAGTATTTTTATCGTTATTGTTTTGTTTCTTAGTGTTAAATAAATTGTGTTTAAATAAATTAGACTTTATATCAATCTTTAAAAGAATTTGATTTTTGGTTTTGAATTTGATTTTGGAATAGAATGTATAAGCACTTAATTTTGTTATGTCGTAAATATTTTGTTTTTGTATTACGTCTGCCTTACTGAGCAGAAAACGACTAAATTTGGTTAATAAAAATGTATCGAAATACAAAGAATATATACGACAAAAAAAGAATTGTTGGATTTTTATATCAATTGGAATGTCTACTATTTATTCTTATCAGTACACATTTTTGGCTTATTTCTAACAAAACGGTTTTGTCCCGCTAGAATTACCATCCGCCGCACCGTGCGTCAGTAAGGGTTTTATCTTGAATATTTTTGGAGAAATAATAGTACGCCACTGATTTCTCGTAAAATAAATCATTTTCAAAAACTTCATTCATTTCTAAACAATCTTCATCTGTTGATTTTTCTTTGTCCGACGTATCTTTTTTATCACCACCAAAAGAATTTTACCACCACCATTGTATCTCAAAAGTTAAAATATTTAGGACATATACAAACATACATTCATATAATTTTTTTGGTTAGAATATGTCCCAGAATCGTCATCTTGAATATTAGCATGTCATTAAGGAACACACTGTATATACAAGTCGAAACGTGTCGCGTGAAATTTCCTCATTATCAACAATGTCAAGAACAATTTACAGCGTAATAAGAACAAGCGTAACAATTAAATAATGTCTCTGTCTGTTTCAGTCCACTCGCTGCGCAGCACTTCGGTCCGCGAGCAGCTGGCCGCCGCGTCCGCCGCCTCTGTGGCTCCTCCCGGCACCACCGCCCCCTCCCCCGGCTCCGGAACCTCCTCCGCCGCCGGCAACCCCCGGTCACTCTTCGGCCGCCTGGGTATCCGCAAGCCGTCCATCCTCAGCCTGACCAGCCCACACGCCGCGGCCGGGGTCAGCGGCTACTCGCCCGCCACCGCCCGAACCTTTAGCTTGGACGATTTACTAAAACCCTCGCCCCGACGTAAGGCGACCCCCGCCGGCGTTACTACACTGTCTTTTTGTTGTCGTACTCTATCTTAACCGGCACTTAATACTTTTGTACCCTATCTACTCTATACGCCTCTGCTCACTATAATAAAGCTAGGTGTAGACTGACATCAATTTTTTAACAGTACGATAACACATTCTAAAATTACTATACAGTAATTCTAGTAACCAAGATACAACAGATACAATCTATTAACCCCTCGTTTTCTGTCGAAAAACTAATAATTATTAATGTACTAATCAATCCTACCGACTGCGCCACTATCATGCAATTTTTTTAAACGTCAGTTTACAAACATAAACGATTTTTTTAAAACAAAACCGCTTAATACAAGGATTAGAATAGATTTTAGTAATGCTACACAGTAGCATTTTTCTATTTTACCAAGTCACTACCGTACAGTCCTCCCGACTGCGCCATTACGACTTAACCCTTTACAGGACAGTACAAATTATTTTTTTAGTTGGATCAAATTGACTTCAAAAATATATAAACTAGCACAAAGGGAACATATCTTCTTAATAGCATTTTTCAAAAAGTTAAAAAATAAGGGAGTGGGGCGGGTGGTGGTCGATTTTTTAACTAGAGACTGTTCAAGCAAATAGATAATATGTAATGATTTAATGTAATGAATATAATGTATAAACTGTATGTATCATCCAATGTAAGAAAAAAGAGTAAGTTCATTTTGATTATCTCTGTTAGCTCTCTACTCAAAAATATGCCAATATTAAGTAAATTAAATTTTGTTTTTCGAGAAACTCGCATCTTATGGGAAATGATCGAAAATATACAGGATATGGTAACGATTTTAGAAAATATCATCCGAGCCGTAAATTTGGTGCACAAAATAAAAAGAAGTCAACGTCACAGGTACATTTGTTCCTATATTTTAATTTTTTTATCAAACGAAATTTGCATAGAAAATGCTTAGACGATAATTATTACTTATATGACACACAGCGAACTCAGTGTCACCAATGCCAATGCTCACTGGTCGAATGTTCAACCGCTTGTTAACTTTTCGCGCCAATTCAGCCAACGTATAGATATTTAGATATGGTTGATTAAATGACCAAAACGCGCATCGAAATAAGCATAGCAAACAAACTAGGCGATAATACACTCCCACGCGACTGGTTAGTCGGTTAAATTAAAGTGGTCAATTTAGCGACCATCACCCTATAAAGGGTTAATTAACGCACATGGGCATATTTTTGAGTAGAGAGCTAACAGAGATAATCAAAATGAACTTACTCTTTTCTCTTATATTGGATAATACATATGGTTTATACATTATATACATTAGATCATTACATATTATCTATTTGCTTTAACAGTCTCTGGTTGAAAAATCGACCACCACCACCCCATTCCGTTGTTTGTTAACTTTTTGAAAAATGTTATTAAAAAGATATGCTCCCTTTGTGCTAGTTTATATATTTTTGAAGTCAATTTCATCAAACTAGAAAATAATTAGTACTGCGCTATAAAGGGTTAAACCACAACACTAAACATATCCATAACCATGTTTTTTTAATAATCCCTTTGAGTACCATAAGTTAATAAAATCAAATTCTGTAAAATATGTACCTTTTATGGGTAACACTTTTTAAATTTTCCAATGCCTCAATCAGAAAAATTCATATAAATGAATAAAATTTTTCTGAAGTATGTTCGTACTTTATCTTATTCAAGTATGTTCTTATATTCTTTGTTCTATTGGGTAAACCTTTTTATAAAAAAAAAAAAATTATCGTAGTGTTAGCCCGTACGCTGACACGGAATTTTTAGTCGATCGACTATTTAGTTGCATGTTTGTAACCAATGTATTCTTATGGAGCCGTGCTCATCGACTATTTGATTGCATGTTAACGGCTCCATAAGAATACATTGGTTACAAACCTGGAACTAGTCGTTTAATAGTATATTATTCAACGAGCATATAATGGTGGCTGTTATTCACGCGGATGAAGTTTATAAATCATCCAAGTGAATAAGAGCCATTATATTATGCGAGTAGAATACTATACTTTATCCAGAACTATCAAAAAAATTTAGATAATATTAATATGTTTTTATTTTTAAAAAACAACTTTTGAAACCCTCCATAGATGAATGCAAAAAATAACATTAAAAACTTCAAATTTTTAAATCGAATTTTTGAGTAGAAAATGAGGGAATTTTAACATTGTTTCTTCGTAATGGTGTTTAATAATTTGTTTACATGTCGTGATATAACATGAGAGACTTATTAAAAAGGAAAAAATGTTTTAAAAATCTTATGACAAGAAAAACAACTTTTGGAACACCCCATAGATGAATGCAAAAAGTGACATTAAAAACTTCAAATACCTCTTGTTTGGAGTTTGGATCGAGATATCAGTGGAAGCGGTGATTAATGAAACTATTATTCATTAGCGAATAATGAATATTATTATTTCATAAACTCATGTATAATAATCAAATTATAGACGAGTCGTGGATAAACAAGTTAAAACAGTCGGCCAACTAAAAATTTTCTCCCAGCGCACGGGCTTAAAAATTGTATTGCACACCTAGCTTAATTCTCGTACTAGAGTATTCTGTAGGTTCCAGTAAGACTAAAAAAATTGTTCTAAAAAATGTATAGTGACAAAAAAAAAGAAAAAAAATCTGTCTCTTTTATTCAGTTTCTTACTGCAAGGGTGCTTGAGGAATATTAAAACTGGAATCTATAAGTTTATTGTAGTCATTTAACCATGTAAATTAATAATCTAATCAGGTTTAGAATAGCATTTTTATTTTAGATTAACTGTATCTAAGTTATAAAAGATTCAAAAATGCTAGAGACTTTTAGTGTTGAACAATCAACATTAAAATAACAAAATGAATCATTAAAATAGAGTTAAATTAAGGTAGAAATACTGTTGAATAGCTGACTCGATTATAAATTTATTCGATCATAACAAACATACTATATTATCTTCATCTTGACCCTATTCTTTACATCTTAGACTACTCACAGAAAGATTTGATATAAGATATACTGTATAAATTCTACAAGTCAACTTTTATTTCCTGAAAATTGCTAAAAGTCATTAAAAAACAATTAAATATTATTATGTCTTCAACTAAAAGTTTTGATTTAATACCAAAGTTTTCTTTAACAATATTCATAAAAAGAGAAGTATTGCTAATATTCTTACCCAGAATATTGATTTCTAATTAGAATATAACATAACTTGAATTATTTTTTAATTTGTAATAAATTTGAACCAACTTAAACCATTCTCTCAGTTCAGAAAAAAGTCCTAAATATTTTGGAAATATAATTTTTATATCCTGGAGTTCTTTTAAATTACTAGATCTTTCAGTGTTTAATCTAAGACAAGTGCACACACATATTGACTTTACATATAATCACTCTTACTCTACTGTCTCTATTTTGTCTTACCGTTCCTATACACTGTTTTGTTTTAACAAATATAGTTGCTTCATGAGTTAATATTTCAAATTAATAAACAATGGTCAATGATATCATGAAGTATGCAAAGTCCTAAATTTGTTTTTCGTAATTAGAACTATTTGTCTAGGTACCAGCGTACTGCTGGTTGCATATTCAATGACGTCACTCTAGTAGTCATGTCTCAAAGTTACTCTAAGAAGCAACTATATTATTTTTCTGTCTTACTATTATATAAAGCGATACGTCCAAGTTTTTTACATACTAGACTGTCTCCTCTATCTTCTGTATTTTTGTAGATTGCCCTTTTCCTCACTTTTGCGTGTGGCTGGTAGGTTGCACTGTATATGTTTTTTTGTTGTACCGAACGTGTCTAGCTAGCAAATCGAGCTATTTGTACATAGCTTTAAAAGTCAGCCGAAGATACCTCCAAATTTCTAATAAGATGGAGCTATCGTCGGTGAACTTTAAAAGAAAAAAAATACATTCTGATTAATAACATTTGACTATCTAAATAACTTTATTATATCTTATATCGCCAATTCGATGCTTGGAGTATTTCTTGAGTTTGTTCATTATTCTATTGTTTTTGTACCTTATTAGACAGTCTCACAAACAATATAACAGAACTAGAACTTTTTTGGTATTTTAAAGAATAAAAATATTAAAAACAATAACTTATTCTTACTAAATAGTCAAATTAAACTAAAGATTAAAGAAATGACTGTCATAATTTATGAAATTATGGCAAGAAATAAAAAGTGAAGATGCATTTCTTTTTTTTCAAAATAGACAATGACTGACTCAATGAATCGGTTCTATTGAGTGTACAGGTAAGGAGAAATATCTTCGTGCATTAAAAAATGGTCAAAAAAGGGAAGCCTTAAGATGACGCTGCTGTAGCAAAAACCTAAAATTTAAAATATGCGCCGAAAATTTTTAGAACAGGAAATTATTCAAAAGATATAAATATTTGACGTGAAGGCCCGGGTTTCAAAAAAATACAAATTTTATTTTCATCTCACATGAAATATATTATAGATTTTTATTCAGCAGCAATAGACTGAGCCTCTAATATATAAAAATAATTGTTTTATATTCAAAAAAAACAAAGCTTTTTTTGGATCATGTTTGGTTATGTGACTTTTATTCTCTTATCTATGGTTTCATTTTTTAGATTTATGTGTTATTAGCGCCACTGTGGTTACTTGGTGAACCCTTATTCTTCCCATTTTGTGACCACTTTTTCGATAAAAGTCCCATTAAATATATATCTCCTCATCTCTACACTCCGTAATCGGTTCTAAATACCAAATACCATATGATCGAAAAAATGGGACTGTCAATCAATGATAATTTTGTCGAGATCAATCTGAAGACGTAATTTACTAAAAATTGACATAAAACTTGTCAAAAATTAACACTAATTTAATAGACAGAAAATTAAAAAAGATTAGAAAAGTATAGAACATTTACAGACACACAAATCTATTTTCAAAAATTATTTTTTCTCGAATTTTCAATTACACCATTTACAAATCATTTTTAATCCGTATAAAAATAAATTACAATCTGAAGGCCAGCTGGCAGTAAGCGCCATTAAAAAATGAAAAATAGTAAAGGTCAACTAATGTCGTTTAGGGCTTGACCTCGCCAAAATTATCATCGATTGTCATTTCCCAGCCGTCTTTGACGCCGTTTCTTGTTAATTTAAAGAATGAAAATATTAAAAACAATAACTTACGGTAGGTTCATATTCACGCGAATTGCGAATATTGTTGTTGTCTTGGACTTCAATGAACTACACAAGCGGCAAAATTGACAGAAAGTTGTTTTAATATTTTGCGAGTTCCCAAAATTTAAAATCTGGGGGCGAGAATATTGAAACTGACTTAATTTTTGCGGATATACGAGTTTTTAAGTTATAATATGCCAACTCTCTCATTTATCTTTTGTTACGGTTGTAATAAAATAAACATTGGTATAATACTTTGGTAAAGATGGAAGAAACTGAAAGGTGTGAAAACATTGTGCACAATCATTATTAAGTATTTATGCTTTTTACAATTTAATCTCATTTTTTTTTAATTTGCAGTACGAAGTTCAATATTTTGATTGCACTGGTAATGTTGTTGGAAAGTTTTCAAAACTATTGAGTATCGAAATCCTCTATAGACGTTCTATGGTAGTTTCTATCTTTTTTTCATCCTTAATTCTCATTAATTGCACTAAATTGTGATATTCTTCTTGCTGTTTCAAATTTTTAATATTTCACATATTCCAATTGTTCTATGTATTTTATTTTTGTTGTTTTTATTATTAAATATACAGCAATAGATCGTGTTCTACACCAAAAATAAGTGTAGCTTCGTCCATTACACAAAAACCATAGATACATGAAACAAGTTTAGATTGGAAAGTGCCCTTAAGGATAATGTAAACACTATTTGGCGCTATTCTTGCCACGGTTGCGACCCAAACATTTGATAATTTCGGATCGGTTCGGCTTTTTCCGGAATTATGTCGCCAAATATTATTTATTCAAATTTATTATTATTTTCTTTTAATTTTACAAATAAAATACAGTGTGTTAATTGCATACAAGAAACTTTATTTTATTTTGCAGTTTTTGCGGTTCAGTTCACAACACAGTTTTTTAGTTTTTAATGCCACTTTTTCACAATTATTACGGGTTTGAGTAAATAAAATTTAAATTAAACTCACAAGATAGCAATAATTACTTTGAATATGGACGCTTTAAACACTTTTCAGTCTTTATTCAATGCGGGCGGTTTAAATTTTGAAAGATTTTATAAGTTTTGAAGATTCTGACTTTGACAAGAGAAAATTTCTATTATTGTTTGCCGATTGTTCTTAGCAACCGCTATAGCAGCGCCAGATAGCGTACAACGGTCGCGACCCAAAACAGTTATATATTTTGACGGGCTATCTAATTTAAATTTATTTCCTTCATCTATGACGAAAACATACTTATAAAAATAAATCTATGAATAGGCTAAAACTTTGATGGAAACATTTTCAACATATGTTTAAAAACACAAATATCCCTAGAATTCATTGCGAATTTCGCTATTTATTATTTTGCGATATTCTGTTTTGCAAAATTCGCATTTCGCATGTATATGAACCTGCCTCTATTCTTATTGAATATGACGTAAAAATTAAAGAAATGACAATCAGAATTTTTAAAATTATGATAAACTTTAAAAAGGGAGCATTTTCATTTTCTTTAAAAGACAAAGAGATAAAAAAATCCACCGAATTTCTTTTCTTCAAATTATACAGTACTTAATGAACCAGTTCTAAACTTACAGTATTATACCATTCGCATATAATTTAACTTAAAAATGTTATTAATCAGTGTTATGTAAATAAATAAAACTAGCTTCTGCTAAATCATTCATCTCATCTGAATACAACACTGATACGTTACTCGTATTAATCTAGGCACACCATCGCCGAAAAAGAAACGCAACAACTCCACCCCGACCAAGAAGAACGTAGCCGAAAAAAAGCAGATCCTGCAGCAGCTCATCTCGCCGGTGGGCAAACAGGCTTCGAAGAAAGTAAGTCTGGGTGAGCTAATTCATTTGAGCGAGCACAAGAATAACGGCGCCCACTCTGCCCCCTCCGTAGTGATCCGCGAGACCAAGTTCACAGAGGGAGAGGCCGCTATGAGCGTCCTCAACGACCCCAAGCTAGAGAAGAAGGTCACCTTTGCAAGATTACTGAACAAGGTTTCGGCAGAGATGAGCTCGGGATCCGATATGGAGTCTGGACTTCGGATTTGTCGACCTGGAGCGAACTTTTCCAGACCTTCAAGTACGCCACCATCACCTAGTGTTATTAATAGAAGCCCGAATAGTACTTCAAGCAATCAGGGAAGCGATTCGTTTACTAGTTCCGAACTAGCCATTCCGAGCGCGCTTAGTTCAAGCATTTCAGACTTGCTCGGGGGTAGAAGAATGAATAAAGGTGTTCCTGTGGGCAAACAAAAGCCAGCAAGTGCTGATTCGATCCTTGCAATGTTTAGAAACTTTTCATCTAGTTCTGCAGGAATTAACTTACCTCCTTCACTAAAGCTTTCACCTTCAACCACACCAACAGCTTCAACACCTCACGACGACATAGTAGGAGACGACGAATCATCATCCTCTTCAGCACATACCCCTGTTTCATACTCCAGCGGAGTTTCAGAAAGCCCAGTCCTTGTTCCACACCTCGGTACCATAGAAGTCCCTGTCCTGGATTCATTAAGCGCTCACAGACAGTCATCAAACTCCGGGAACCTTCTTCACCCTCCGACGATTCTCTTGGAGATACCGAGCACAATCAGCAAGTGCCTTTCGCCGATTAGGGAGATGCCTACGCCACTGCCTTCGCCGGCTTTGACACCTGTCATGCGCCGAAGTCAGTCGCCGGTAGCTAGGAGAGCCGCGGCGGCTGCGCTGGAGAGTCAGGGTAGTAGGGAGGAGCATATATCTGTGGAGATACCGGGGGTGTCTGTGAGTACGAGTGAGGACGAGGACTTGCAGTGTCCGGTGATCGCGGTGGATCCGCAGGCCGAGGACGGGCTGATTTTCGAGGAGGCTGTGGCGATGCAGCAGCAGAGTGCCTTATACAAGACGAAGGTGAGTTTGAATGTGTAGAGAAAAATCAACAGAGTAGCTGTAAGATACAAACAATATACAAAAGCAACGGAGAAATTTTTGGTCAAATTTAAAGTGTTATATTTTTGTTATTTTTAATCCTATTTTCATGAATTTTTTAGCAAGCTGTAATAATTATATGAACTCTAATTCGTAAACTCGGCTTTTTAGTCTTTTGGCATATTATACAGGGTTAATCGAGGGGTTGTTTTTTATCTTATATTTAAAACACCCTGTGCAATAATTTCGTATGTAAATTTTCTTAAAATATAATTTTACGGTGAGAACCATGACTCCTGAGCATTTTGTTTTTTGATTCATGTCAATACATGCTTTGGTTAATTTTTAAGACCGAGATGAACTGATAACGATCAATTTGCAATTTTTTCAGTTATTAATGATGTAATATGACAAGATGGTTTTGGTGACTATTGTCGTAACGTCACATTACACTGCATTGGATACTCTATACTAAGTTAAAAAAAACCTTAAGGACTAACGATATAGTCAGGGTTTTAATAAACATTAATAACGATAAGAGAATTAACGATATTAAAGAAAACATCTGTAATACTCAAGTATAGAAACAGAAAAAACAAATTGTAAAAAAGACCCTAATATTTTGTATTGCTGCCCTTGGCTGCTATAACTCTCATTCTTCTTTAAGGACCAAACGAAGTTCTAACCCTCCTGCCAAGCATTTGCCAAACGTCGAACATGATGGGAAGTTCATAGTAGTATATAGTTCATAATAATCACCAAAGTCACATTGAAAAATAACTTCAAAAAGAAATGATAATTGAAAAAAATTCAAATTGTTGGTGGCAAGTTCATTTCGTTCCTAAAAATTAACCAAGGTATGTATTGACATGATCCAAAAAACAAAATGTTCAGGAGACATGATTCTCACCGTAAAATTATGTTTTAGGAAAATTTACGTACGAAATTATTGCACAGGGTGTTTTAAATATAAGGTAAAAAACAACCCCTCGATTAACACTGTAGCAAAAAGCCAAATACTATATGCCAAATACTAAAGTTTATAAAAAAACTGAATTTACGAATTAAAGTTGATATAATTATATACAGTTTGCTAAAAAAATCATGAGAATAGGACTAAAAATAGCAAAAATTAAAAACTTAATTTGATTTTTTTTAAATCTGAGTGTATCTAAATACTTAAATTTACCTTGATAAATTTGTTTTACAGATTCGACCTCCGCCTCTGGGCCAAATCAACGACCAAGAACCCACCAAACCGACATTGCCACTCATCATCCCCACCTTAACCATCGAAACACCCTCCCCCACTCGAAAAACTCCCACCCTGTTACTTCCGGGCTCACCTCCTCCCCAAAGAGGCTACCCACATCACATGGATCAGTTTCCGTTCCCTGGACCCATCAAGAACAATCGAAAAATGTTCAAGAACCTCGACAAACCAACCTCACTCGACCTACCAAATGCTCCACCTCTTATTACCATCACCTGCAACCTCAGTGAGGCGGAATCAGACGCAGAACCTGCCTCACCCGCTGTGAAGTTACCAGGACACCACGGAGGGCCTCCTGGTGGCATGACGTACCTCAGTCCCTTCTCAATGGCACATCGAGGAGACCAACACGCCTCAGAATCAAATTTGAGTTCGTCAGGGTACAGTTCTATGGCCAGTCCTGGACCTTCACGCTGTGGATCGAATAATCCCCTTTGTCCTTCCGAAATGGAGGATCAAGGACCTTCAGGATCAGGTGCATGTCTCAGAAGACAGTCGGTGGATCCGGTGATAAAGAATCCAGCGACTCAGCAGTGTGGCGAATCGAATACAAACCAAAAAGGCGAACAACGAAGAGGGAGATCAGATTCTGAAACCCTATCGGATGATCCTTTGCTTGAATCTAATGATGAAGGCATTGGAACTGATCATATTGATGAGAAAATTGATGAAGGAGAGGTAAAAAGTGCTAAGGAACTTGAAGTGTTTATGTCAGTAGAAGGAGAAACAAAAACACTTCTGGATTTACCACTTTTACCTATAGTAACGACCACTACTCGAAACACTAAGTGTCTGAGCATAGAAGAATCAATGGATAGGTTATTTCCTCCTGTTTCAGCACCTAATTGTAAAATCTCTCTCCAATTACCTTCTATAGTAGTTCAACAACTGGAAGCACCAGAAAAATACCTGAGCCCGATGAGTTCCCGCAGCGAAAGTCCTTTAAGTGACAGGACAACAGGATTGGGACGATTTTCACCACTATTTTACAGTAAATCCAAAGATCTTCTACCTTTTACGGACTCAGACGGACTGTATGATTTCCCTAGTTCAGACAAAGTAAACGTTACAAGTATCAGTCAGCACAAAAAAGCTGGAAGAAAACGAGAAAAACGATCTACAAGGACATGCAAGACTCCGAGTCCTACGAAGCAACCTTTAGGGATATCCTGGCTGAATCACCTGGATGTTCCAAGTAAAGATGCCTTTTTTAAGGTACCGCCTCCAAGGAAATTGAGTCCTAAAAGGAGGTTAGCCAGGACACAAGTCGTTAACTCGTCATCGAGTAGCGATAGTGTATCGTCTACAAGGGAAGTAAGGCTGACGTCATCAAGTCCCAGTCCAGATAAGCGTTGGTCATCACCTGTGGGATGGTTAGATCAGAAACACGCAAGATCTCTGGATATATCTGCCGAAGATAAGGTAAAAATACGTAATTTTTTGGCATATATTTATTTTTACTCTGTGAATTTCAGGATGATTCAAATCCCAGCTCGCCAATGCTATCCAGATCATTGGACTTTCCCAGGAAACCACCCAAGTATCAGAAGCTGAACCGTCTCAGGGCGATCAGCAACCAAATTCGGTTCCTCAAGAGGCTGGAGCAGAGTCTAAAGAGACGCGATCGCGTTGCCAGCTCTAATTCCAACACTAGCGAGGATGACGAGGTAGGGATGTATCCAAAAATCGATATATTCAAACATTGATATATTTTTAAACAAATGGAAATAGTATATTGTTTTATTAGGAGTAAAAATGATACTTTTTGTGGCGGGCTGTACATTTGACGTTACAAACGAGGCGGTACAAAAAGTAATTTTTACTCCGAATAGAAAATGCTCTTTTTTTCAAACGTCACAAATAATTTTTTAACAAATTTCAAAAGTTGCAAATAATATAAAAATATTTAAAATACCTTGAAAGTAGTTATACAGAGTGAGTCTTAAATAAGTGCAAATATTTTCAGGGCTGGTAGATCTCGATAAAAGAAACATATTTTCTCTTTACCATTTTTCAAATAAGTCCAAAATAACCGAGTTATTTAAGTTAGAAATTTTTTAAAAAAATTGATTTTTTTAAAGGATTTTGAGAGCCACCGGATTTTTTCTGTATTTGCATCCCTTTTAGTGCCGTAACCATAGAGTAAAGCCGTAACAATGGTAATATCTGAGATTAAGAAATTATACTGTGGGAAAACTTGCGGTGAACAGGCAGTTCTAAAAAGTTTTCGAAAAATATACAGGGAAATGTAAAAGAAAGTGCACTATTTTCAACATCTTTTTTTGCGAAAAAAACTCATAGACGTGTTCTTGGTGTCAAAATATACCACCCCTGAAGATATTTGCACTTATTTAAGACTCACCCTGTATATCGCGAAACTATATGGTTACACTCGTTGAATTTGACACTTTATGTCAGTTTAATAATATATTTTCGTACTTTTGTGCTTAGGTGTTAAAATGACTTTTTATATCGTCAAGCCCCGTTCTCAGAACTATGTTTTGTCGCTGGCGACACAGTTTGACATTTCAAACAACCAATGAGAGCTGTACTAAATTTAATATTGACAGCTATTTGAATTTTGTACAAGTCGGGCTTCAATCATGTCGCAAAAATAAATACTAGTGTGAAGTTTTTGAAAAAAATAGTATATTGTTTTATCAGGAGTAAAAATGGCACTTACAGCCTCGCGAAAAGTGTCATTTTTACTTACCTAACTTTACGTTTGACTGACGAGCGTTAGCGAGTCCGACATACAGCCGAGGCACAAAAAGTCATTTTTACTCCGAATAGAACATGCTATTTTTTTTCAAACGCCACAAATAATTTGTTAAACAATTTCAAACATTCCAAATAATATAAGAAGATTTAAAAGTCATATCTTGTATGTAATTATATATCGAGAAACTATGGTTACGCTCGTTGAATTTGACACTTATGTCAGTTTAATAATATATTTTCTTACTTTTATGCTTAAACGTAAAAGTGCTTCACGTTCATGCCTAGGCGTTAGTTAATGACTTTTTTATATTGTCAATCACGTCGCAAAAATGAATGCTTTTGTGACGTTTGAAAAAAATATATTTTTTTTTCTTTTTTTTAAATATCACATTAATAATGAACTAGATTGTGGCATATTGAATAAAAATACTGTTCCTATAGGATGAGGAGGTGCCCATGGTGACATCTCCCCTCCTCCAACAACCCAGAGGACCCAAAATCGAAATCCGCAAAAGCAGCAGTATCGGAAGACTCCAAAGTACCACCAGCAAAAACGGCAAAGGTACCAAATACAAAAAATGCGACTCGATGCAGGAACGCAGCTGGCCCAAGGAAGTACTGACCAAGAACGGTCACTCGGAATGATGTCCGCTGCTACGCCTGACCTAACAAGCATACGTTATATAAGCATTCTCCACGAGTTGCCCGGGTCTCCTGAAGGTTACCCAGGTCACAAAGCTCAATCATAATTCGTTCATCGAAGTTTTAACTAGGCTTAAAATATTTATTTTTGATTAGAGAATATTTTATTTGCCATTTTAAGTGTGAAATCGTTCATCGTCGTACAAAATAGGTCATCAATTTTCATATAACGTCAAAAAATAATGTATTTTCGGGCGATTCTTATGAAAATTGCTGATCTAACAATGTCAATCATGACCCACTCACCTAGATCATATATACTGACGTGGATAAGTAAATCACTATTGAAACTGTCGCAAACATATCAACGACTTCCATTTATCTCCTTTTTTTTGTTGCACACGCGGTGCTTCTACTCTGTCTATCCTTGTCGAGGACCTATCGTCTGCGCGCCAAATTTGAACATTAATTTTAAAAATTTAATTTGTAAAATGCTTATATTTGAACAATAAATTGAATATTAACTGTCAGAAAAATTAAATTATATAAAAAATACATTTAGCCACTCCGTACGATCAATATTCTTAGGAAATCTAACCAGAAAGTATGCATGAAGCTTAACATAAATAAAAGAACAACTGTATACTTTACTTGCATATGAAAAGATAATTTGGGGACCTTTATATTAGGACTTTCACACCCTAAACACTTTCTAGTCATTTTTACGAGTATTTAGAAAGTTCAACGAAAAAAAAACAGAAATATAATTGCACAAATTTAAAATTAACTTCTCACTGAACACACTTGCATCCTTGACTATATAAAAGGGTCGATAAAACAGTAATTAATACAATTTTTAAATTAAAAAACGCAAAAAACAAGCGTCGTTACACAATGGAAATAAGATTATGACTTTGATTATGATATATAATTATGACCAGATTATGACAATATGATGACATTGAAAAGTTGGTTTCCATAACAATGTATAATATGTACTTTCTAAACCGTATAAAATTGTGATTATTTTGGAAATACGTGCAACCTTTAATGCGCATGTGCAAAGTAAGGTCCTCGAGACGGACAAAGCTATTGCATGTTTCATAAGTGCAATAAAGAAGGTTTGAAAATGGCATGTCGTGATGTTGGAGACATATTTTTTAATGCTAAACTTATGGCGTTGATTTATCCACGTAAGTATATATGATCTAGGCCCACTCACATACACACAAACACATTGTACATACATCGAGGGAATAGATAACCAAGGCGCTGTATGGCGCGACTAAGGCTTGTACATGAGACTGATTTTCTACTATAATGAAATAATATTTACTCGTTATGGTTACTTGTTGTACATAGAAAGAGTTTTTTCTCTCATTATTCTTCGGTAAGTCATTACCTGTACTATTTCAAATTGCACCCATTGTCTCTCTTCAACCAATTAGTGACTTGAATCAAGTTCTAAAGCAGTCGATGCGGTTGCCTAACTACGCGATTTGGGAGAAAAACAAACGCGCTCTGTAAGTGATAGTATTTGAGTATTTGAAACAGTTTGGCAATAGATTAACAATTCTGTTCATAAGAATATTCGATTCTATCATATGGACATCAGATTCCCTCACAGGAACATCCGATTATGGAAGAGGAACATTCGATTCCCTCATATGAATATCCCACTTGAGTATAAGATCTTCCCTGTCGAAGGAACATTCGATTATATTATAATAATATTCGATTATATTATAGCAATATCCGATTCTGTCATATGAAAATCCTATTAATAATTTTTATGCAAAAGGAACATTCGATTCCGTCTTATGAACATCCCACTTTAGTATAAGACCACCTTCTTTGTCAGAGAAACATCCGGTTAGATTATAGTAATATTTTTTATTACATCTTTGGAATGTCCGATTCTATCATATGAACATCCGATTCTCTCATAGACATTACATTTTTTAAAAACAATCGATTACGTAACAGGAACATCCGAATATATTGAAGGAATATTCAATTACGTCATAGGGATATCCGATTCTCTCATAGGAACCTCTGATTCTTCAAAGAAACAATCGATTATGCTAGAGGAATATTTGATTCCATCATATAAATATCCCACTTTAGTATAAGATCTTCCCTGTCAAAGGAACATCCGATTATATTATATAAATATTCGATTATATCATAGGAATATCCGATTCTATCATATGAAAATACGATTTTTTTAGAAGATCAGATTGTTTAGAGACAATCGATTACGCTAGAGGAGCATTCGATTCCGTCTTACGAACATCTTATGAACACTTTAGTATAAGACCACCTTCTTTGTCAGAGGAACATCCGGTTAAATTATAGTAATATTCGATTATATCTTTGAAACGTCCGATTCTATCATATGAACATCTTTGACTCTTTTATAGGAACATCAGATTACTTAAAGATGCAATCGATTATGCAAGAAGAACATTCGATTCCGACATATAAATATCCCACTTTAGTATAAGATCTTCTCTGTAAGAGGAACATCCGTTTATATTGAAGGAATATTCGATTGTATCATAGGGATTTTCTCATAGGAACCTTTGATTCTTCAAAAAAACAATCGATTTTTCTAGAGGAATTTTCGATTCCATCATATAAATATCCCACTTTATTTAGTATAAGATCTTCTCTGTTAGAGGAATATCCGATTATATTATAATAATATTCGATTAGATAATAAGAACATTCTATTATATCATACAAATGTCTTATTCACTCATAGGTACATCTTGATTATATATTCGTCATATGAACATCCCACTTCCATCCATGGAACATTCTATTCTGCCATAGGAACATCCGATTGTATCATAGACATACGATTTTATCGAAAAAATATTAGGTCTATCGAAGGAATATTCAATTCATCCGTGAGAACATTCGATTCCAGAAAATAGTCAGTTCTAGAATACTAATATCTGACTCTGTGAGAGGAATATTACATTCTGTAGGAATATTCGATTTATGTCGGAGAAATATTCCATTTTATAAAAAGAATGTCCTATTCTCTGAGAGAAACGTTCGATTCTATTGGGGGAGTTAATTCTGTTACAGGAATATCCGACTATCTAAGAAATATTCCATTTCAATATAATAACATCCGTTTCTGTTGAAGGAATATTCGATTCTGCAGTAAGAATATCCGACTGACAGAAACATCTGATTCTGCCATAATGATTAGGTGCTAAAGGAACATCCGACTCTTACAGAGCGCGTTTATTTTTCGCAAATGATCGTATTTTAGAATCTTTTAAGTCAATATATTGCCTGTCGACTCTATACAATTTTAACTGTCTTTTTATTTTGTCAGTTTAGGTGTTTTATCGATAACGCATGTAAAATGTAAAATAATAAGTGTTTCCTCGTAAAACGAATCTAAAAATGAGATTTTAAAATAAAAAAAAAATTTTATAAAACAAAATGGCTGTGGAATACACGTTGAACTCGTTCGAAAAAAAATAATAATTAAAAAATGAACAGGATGAAAAAATCGAGGTTAGGGTTTTTCTAACGAAATAACATAATATAAAAATAATGATAGAGATAAAATAAAAACAGAAAATAAAAGGAATATGAAGAATATCCTGCCTAAAGTTTTTGCGTAGTTATACGGGTATCACTTTAAACTGTCTTATATATTCTTGACGCTACACTGTGATAATTTTCTTCTGAACTTTCTTCAGAATTTTACTCTTCAGCAATATATACGAAATATAGAGGGAGCAAAAAAACAAAAAAACGTTTTACGGCACAAATAAGCAATTTATTCACTCACCGATCCCCCCATACGTAAGTCCCCCCTCTCCCCCACTGCACATTTTAATAAAAAAACGAATCATTCTCGTTGTTGTGTTTTGTTGATCACTAATAAACTGTATAAGATCGAAAAAAAACGTTATTGTCGTTGTGAGAATATTTTTCTTTGCCATGTAACCGAAATTTATTAAATAAAATAAAGCTTTGTTTTCAAAAATGTTGTTTTTTTTCATACAGGTTGGCACCTCTCATACGCCGCGGAGGCTCCAAGGAGAACGACAGTTTGTATTGAAATGAAATTTTGTGAGCATATGTAGGTTAATTCAGAGCACGTTTTAAAAATATAGAGTTCTACAGGGTGTCCCCAAAAAAGTTACATATCAAAGTTGTGTTTTTTGATTACAAAAAACACAACTTTGATATGTAACTTTTTTTTCTTCAAAAAAACAATCGATTTTTCTAGAGGAATTTTCGATTCCATCATATAAATATCCCACTTTATTTAGTATAAGATCTTCTCTGTTAGAGGAATATCCGATTATATTATAATAATATTCGATTAGATAATAAGAACATTCTATTATATCATACAAATGTCTTATTCACTCATAGGTACATCTTGATTATATATTCGTCATATGAACATCCCACTTCCATCCATGGGTGGTCCATTAGGACCACCCTATATATTGATTTTCGGATTTTGGGAGAAAAATAAAGGTGAGTTTATAAGAGAAGTAAGTATATGACTAAAATTGACATTTTTTAAAATTAAAGATTTTTTTTAAATTACAACAAAATCTACTCAAATTGAAATTTACCCGGTATAGCCTAATATGTAGTTAAATTAACTATTGTACTTTAAATCAAATTAAAACTTGATCCAAAAAGTTATACAGGGTGAGACAAAATTAATATTGAACATACGTCACCTTTAAAAGCATACTCTTTTATTTTAAATGGAACACACCCAGTATATTATTCCGATATTCAGTGGAGAATTCATGTCTCTTCAGAATACTGTTTACTACCCCTCAAACAAAGATTTTCCTAGATATTTTCATTTACATGATTTGATCTGAGTATATCTTTATTATTTGATAAGATCTAGGTGGCAGCTGACGTTACTTCAACATAGCTGTCTAAATAGTCCAAGTTTAACCACTAGTTATCATTTTGTGTCAGTTAAAACAAACTGATTTTATCTAGTCTAGATTTTTTATGAAGATATATTAAAGACAGTGTTTACAAAACTCGACCAACTATTGTCGACAACATGAGAGAAATTATTGTAGTTGCTTTTCCAGGTATAACTCCAATCTTAATAGTATTTTGAAATACTATTTTTAAATTCCCCATTGAACACCGGAATAATATACTGGGTGTTCGATTTAAAATAAAGGAGTAACTTGCTTTTAAAAGTGACTAATGTTCCATATTAATTTTGTCTCACCCTCTATAACTTTTCGGGTCAAATTTCAATTTGGTTTAACATGCAATGGTTACTGTAATTAAATATCAGGCTATACAAAGTCAACTAAAATTTAGGTCATTACAGTTAGGGGTTGGAACCTTTGGTGTTACACAACAAAATAAAACACTAAATCACCACAGTACACCAAAACACTTTTACTTTTACACTGGACGCGCGTTTCGCTAACCACGTTAGCATCATCAGCAGATGATTAAAAATTTTTTTAACTTAAAAGTTTTAATCATGTGTACTGTGGTGATTTAGTGTTTTACTTTGCTAAAATTTAGGTAGTTGTTATCGAAATTTAAAATTTACTCAAAATTCTTAGATTTTAGATATATGCTTCTTTAATAAAACTCTTTTTTTTCTAGAATCCGAAAATTAATTAATATATAGGGTGTTCCATTAGAAAACCCACAACTTCGATGTGTAACTGTTTTGGGGGACATCCTGTATAATTCTATATATTTTTATGAAATGCTTTCAGTTAACCTACATATACTACAAAAATTTCATTTCGATATAAACTACGTTCTCCTTGAAGCTTCCGCGGCGTATGAGAGGCGCCACCCTGTATACCCTACTGGCAAGCGAAGTCCTGGGTCGGTGTTTACATGTCTAGGAGTGAATCGCTATGGCACTATGGCCATCTAGTAAGTCGGAGTTATACAATATGTTCCCAGACTGTGTTTACAAGAGGAAGAAATAATTGAAAGTCCTAAAAATTATAAGGCGTTTCTATGGTAACATCATTTAGATTTAATTTTTTGATAGCTGGCCAATAGGGAGTCAATCTCCACCTTAGCCAAACAAAAAAATCAGTTAAATAAAAGCAAAAAGTCCATAAACATTAAACATATATTAGTTATTCTATCTAGAACTATAACAAAAATAAATATTTTATATAATGTTGGGCTAGTTCTCCTCGTCCGAACTGAGCAACATCGTTTTTTCGGTATAATGGGATATAGTGGATACTTTGGAGCCCATCGTGATGGGCGGATTTGGTGGATTATCCAGGCTGTTGTAGGACTGGGGCACCGTGCCCCCGTTGGGGCTCATGGGGTCGTCGGGGTCGTACTGGGACAGCCTGATACCGCGCCCGTTTTTACCTCCTGCAAAAGTACATTCATTTTCCTTGCTAGTTTATGATAAATAAATCGTCTAGGTTAGGTATTACCAAAGGTATTTTGAGGATATCAAAAAAAAATTAAAAATCAAATAAAATTGTTAATTTCAATGCAATTATTAGTTAATGTTAACATTTATGTATGATTATAAATTACTGTTCCATTCTGATACAGGGTGTGCCATTTTTGAAGTATTTTAAGCTGTACGCACACTGGTGCGATCACGGCCGCGATCACGATCTCCACGCGGCCGCGGCCAAAAGTTGCTGAAGAATACATATGAGCCATTTCACATTGGCGTGATCGAGTTTTGGAGACGAAGCCGCCTGGCGGCGTTCTATTCTGCGGTGGCGATCAGATTCAACTTGTCGAGTTTGATTGCGTGATCGCGACCCAACTGATAGGAATTTTCCGTTATTTTGTATGTTTTTTCTTGTTGCAATTTAGAAATGGAGATAACAGAGTAGCTAATTAAGGCTGTAAAAATACACAAAATTCTATATGATTTATCCGATCCAAGTTACAAAAATAATAGAATTAAAAATAAAGTTTGAGACAAAATTGGAGTTCCAATTGGATTGGATAGTACAAATGTATACATTTTTATTGTTTAAGTTTAAATATTGTAGGTAAATATTTAAGAATGTTTTTTTACATAATTCACATTTTTAATTTGTACCTATGTATACCTACAGGATGGCGCACTACATATAGGTACGGCCGTGAACGTGAACGCGACCGTCTAGCCTAAACGACGCAGCGATAACATGAGCGATCATTCTAGCACACACTACTACCGGTGTGTGCTAGAATGATCGCTCATGTTATCGCTGCCCTGATCGTGATCGTGATCGCGGCCGTGATTGCACCAATGTGCGTGTAGCTTTTCGTCGACCGAAAAGATTAATTCGCGAACGATGAAATCGCCAATGAATTAATTTCGGAACACGATAATGCAATTTTATCGTCGTGTATAAAACAGTATTTTTTTCCATAGCGAGTTACGTTTTAAAAAATATTCAGAAATTATTATTTCAAGGAATTTATTACGAGTAGAAAAAAGATTGTGCTGGGTTGGCGTTGGTTTCTATGTAATTTGACAAATAAATAAAGCTGACTCTTTAGTTGTCAGTTTTGAGTCAATATATTTTAATTCTCTTTCGTGTCGATTGCTGATTGAATTGGAGCCAGAAATGGCTCAAAACGAAGTAAGTAAATTACCAACAGATATTCAGGCTGAGGCGACAAACGCCATATCCAAACTACTTCCATTTAAATCCCGAATAACTTATGAAAAAGAATACAAAAATTTTCAAAAATGGAAGCAATTAAAAAAATGTGCAAGAAGAAATAAAGTTTTTAACCTATCCTCGCTGTTAAAGTATCATTTAATCTACCCTTGCGGTTAAAGTACTATTATATCTACTATTTTTGATAGATATAAGGCAATTTTAAGAGTTGCTATAGAAAATAAGAAATTTTGGAATTGAATAAAATTTTCAATAACTCAATAAAAACATTATTCCGAACTTTTTGACACACCCTGTATATTTAAAAAGTTAAGAATGTCTAAATAATTACTTACCAAGATTCGTATAAAAACAGACAACATATAAAACAAAGCTTTCGGAGCCAAAAGGGAAAGAAAAAAATACAAAAAATAAATATATACACCAAGCCGTTTATTAAATTAAAAAAAATGTACATAATGGAGTCAACTTAAAAAAAATTAAATAAACTACATTTATAAAATCGTTAGGTCGTGTAGGGTACTACACTAAGACAAGACCCTAAAACAATGGCTTGTTTGAACGAATGTGCCAAATAACTATTTAGGTCAAAATTCAACTAGAAATACTTCTTAACAATACTAATAATAACTAATAGTCAAATAGAAATGCTAAATATTTAAAGCTAGGTTTTTTGATTCCCAGTTCGGATCACATTTTTTAATGATGTAAGAAATTTAATAAAATATTTACAAATATACATAAAAAATACTTTTTTGATTTGTTTTTTTATTTTTAAAATAGATTAAGTACTGTGCTTAGGATTTAAAATAGTTAAAAATATTTTAATTGAATTAAATTTTAAACAAAAATATGTGCCTACTCAATGTTTATTCCAATATATTCTTATTATACATGATTTGGTGACATTTAGTGTCTAAGTGTTTTGTATTTTTTTTAAACTAATGAAAATATATATATTTTTTATTTTTTAAATTTATTTTTGTTTAAAAAATAATCCATTAAAACAATGGCCATATGAAGATAACAAGAATTTGTTAAGTATTTGTACACTGACAAATATGTACATTCCTCTAGCAATATTATAACTTGAATATTGTTTTTATATTGCACGATTTTTGATAGACAAATTATTGGCTATTTTTCTAAAACGTTATACACTCAGATGCAAAAAAGGCAACAGAAAAAATTTTCGTTATATTTTTTATATTTTTAGCCCTATTTTCATGATTTTTTTTAAGCAAACTGTATATAAATATATCAGAAGTTAACTTACAGTTTTTTTTCTAAATTTTAGTATTTGGCTTATTATACAGGTTTAATCAAAGGGTTGTTTTTTACCCTGACTTTAAAACACCCTGTGCGATAATTTCGTGAGCGAATTTTCTTAAAACGTTACTTTCATGTCAGAACCATGTCTCCTGAGCATTTTGTTTTTTGGATCATGTCAATACACGCCTTGGTTAATTTTTAAGAGCGAAATGAACTTGCCACAAACAATTTGCAATATTATCAATTATCATTTCTTTTTGATGATAATTTTCAATATGAGAGACGAGATGTTATATTGTGAATTATATAACAATATGAACTACCCAGCATGTTAGACAGATCTGAACCCTACAGTTGCTGTTACTGTTTGTATACTTGAATATTAAGATGATTTCTTTAATAACGTTAGTTCTGTTATCGTTATTAATGTTTATTAAAACCAGAACTGTATAGTTACTCTTTAATGTTTTTTTTTTATTTAGTATAGAGTGTCCAATGCAGCGTAATATGACATTACGACAATAGTCATCAAAACCACCTCGTCATATTGAAAAACAAGATCAGAAGTAATGATAATAATTGAAAAAACTGCAAATTGTTCGTGGCAAGTTCCTTTAGATCTTAAAAGGCATCAGGAATTATTAGATCAAGACATTTGTTCACATGAGACATTAAACAAAATGCTCAGGATACATAGGTTCACTCAGACACACAGGTTCTGACAGAAAAATAAAATTTTAGGAAAACTTGCTCCCGAAATTATTGCACAGGGTGTTTTAAAGTTAAGGTAAAACAACCATTCGATAAACCCTGTATAATAAAGCGCAATACTAAAGTTTATAAGAAACTGAGTTTACAAATTCTATTTTTTCAGTTATTTTTACAAAAAAAAATCATGAAAATTGAGCTAAACACTATAAATTTAACAAAAAATTGTTCCAGAGCGATTTTTGGCATCTGACATTGTAGTGGCGAAACTCTATAACTCCGGCACTGGTTATTCACGAATAATCTGTGAACATTTTCTAAAAAATGTTTTTTTTTTTTTCATAATAACTCTGATATTATAGATATCTTTATGAAATTAGATACACGTCTTCTATGCACCAAAATGCATTATTTTTAATATACAAAAAGTCCTCCTTAGTAGTTCCTTCCAGTCAATGCAGAAACGATTTCCACACAACAGTCACCACATTTTTTCCAATCTAACCCTGAGGTACAATGATTTTGATTTTTTTAAGAAAAAACTATGCGTCTGGCGAAAAAAAATGTAGAGATGAAAATTGTTTAGAAATAAATAAAGATTTTGAAAATAAGGTTTATTTTAAGAGCGTGGTGTACTATTTTTTTCTCCAAAAATATTCAATATAAAACCCATATCGACGCCAATGGTTAAAAAAAATAAATTATTTGTACATCATTTCATAAACGGCATTTTGATGCGTTGAAGACAAAATGAAAATTATTACAAAAAAAAGTTTTAGAAAATTTTACCACCCCATATCTCAAAGTTAAGATATTTAAGACATACACTCGTATGAAGTTTTTTTCTTAGAATAGGTCCAAGAATCACGCCTTTAAATATTAGCATGTAATTAAGGAACACCTTGTAGATATTTCCACCAATTTGGTCTATGATGAAAAACTGATTTGTGTTGAGATTATAAGTTTTTCTTAAGATTGTTAAGTCCAGGTACAAAAAAAACTTGAGCCAGAGAAAAAATCAAAAAAATATCCACTGTGTCGCAGACTAAATAATATTGCACAAAATTAAACAAGTCAAGGTATAAAATTATACTTGAAAAACGTACACATTTGTCTGGTCATTGAGAATAAAACAACTAAATTAATAGTAACTGATAATATAATAAGGTCTGATGAGATAGATGGGTTAGGTAGGTCGTATGCGCATGATCCAGCCATGGTCTAGTCCGGCAACGTCACGTCGACGCGACGCAAATGCGAGTCGGACATGAATGCGGCGCATGCAACACGACATGCTACGATATGGACGGAATCACAGTCTCTCGTAGGGCTGGTGCGATATAACATCTGCAAAAAGCAACCGGTCATGCGAGCAGCGTATTAAATGATGAAATGAAAACGAAAAATAAATTTAAAAAAACGTTGACTAGGTCTAGCGCTATAAAGATAGGTTTTAAAACTAAAGGTTTCTATAAATTTGGCTAGATGTCGTGACAGTAGAGATCAAGTGTCATTAAAAATGTTGAGCAACGTGTCTTTTTTGCTCTAAAACAGCGTACACACTATGCCAGAAACAATTCGAAACATGTCAAGGTCGCATTTCGTTGCCCAACTTTGAACGCATTTCGATTTATTTCCAGTTGTCTTGGCCCACTTCGATTTGCCTCGAGCTACTTTAGATTCTTAAAAGCGCCTGAAAACTACTCGTGAGGAGGGCGAGGGGAGATTTTTTTGGCGTTTTTTGTTGCCTCGTTCAAGTTTTTTGTTTTGTCTTGAGCTATTTCCAAAACGTGGCGGTATCTGTACCGGAGGCAAAGGTTATATTTTTTCACAAATCTCAGTGAAATAAGTAAACCTAGACGTGTCTAAAATAGCTGTTGTTACAATGATATTTCTTTAATTACATCTCGTTTTATGTTATAATGATAAATATATTCCACAGAATTAATATTTGAACACGCGTTTATTATATGCATAGTAGATATTTAGAAACAAAACTTTTCACTTAAACTGCAGGAATATAATTATTACAATATTTTTATGATTTAATTTTATTATAATTAATTAGTATATAAATTTGTATATGATATGTTTGTTTACGGCCTTAATTGATTAATATAAGAGTAGTATTGCTTGATGAGTAATACTGGTACTCAATCATGTACTCATCATGATGATGAGTATTGCTTGATGAGTAATACTGGTAACATTATCAATATATCCGCTTGGGAAAATTATTAATTGACCTGATGTCAACAAAAGTATGGTCCACGGACATTATTTAAAAGCCATGTTCTTTTATTGTTCTTAAGAGAAATCTGCAAACGATACTTTTATTAGCACCCAGCATGGTTTGATATAAATCCATTCAACTAGTATTTATTATGCAAGGATTTAGACAATTAAAACTAGAAAAACGAAACCAAATTAGTAAACTAAACTTTACTACAGACTACAGTTTAAATGTTATTTTACCATAACTAGAAATAATAAATAATTAGACGACTTTTTAAATAATTTTGTGTATATTTTGTTCATGAGGTGGAATACCGTGGATTATAAGCCGATAAATGCTAGACCGCTAGTTAGTCAGTGTTATATATTTGTTTACTATATTGTAATTAATAATATTAGACAATGATTAAAACTAAATATCCTTGTGTAACCTTCGAGGAATACCTAATTTAATTTACCATCGGCCTTGTATATGAATTTTTAAAGTAGCTCAACCTAAGACGTTTATGGATGTAAAGCACAAGATGGCGAGGCGTATTTCACAGTCTTTTACTAGAGAAAAATATTTTTTGTTACTCTGAATTTTGAAGCGGCCAATAAAAACAGAGAAAATAAAAATCGATAATTTTCGGACTGTGCCAATTGGTTACTAATCGACCAGATACTTTTTGTCTATTAGATATGCTATAAAAGCTGGTAATTATACAATTCGACCATGTAAATACCCGACAAATTCCGCAAGGCCGACGAGGTCGATGTTTTTCACTGATAAGAAAAAAAAATGTTTGTTTAGATAATTTTCGAGATATTTTTTCTTTCTGAATGCACATTTTAAAGTATTTTATATTCTTTGTCCGCTTGATCTATTATACTGGTCGCACGTATCGAAGTTTTATTTCTTGTAGTTTTAAAATATTTTCTTGTTTCTTTGTAGTTGTAATGTAAAATTAGATTAATTTATTAAGTTTGATTATAATGTTTAGTGTAGACTACCAGAAGAAATTTAGTAGTGTTTTTATATTTTATTTTGAAGTTAAGTAGTAGGTGAAGGGGTAATTTGGTTAATTTTTCTTTATGTTTGATTAATTAATAAGTTTGATAATTTGTTTAGTGTAGAATACAAGAAGTAGTTTGTGTAGTGTTCTTGTAAGAGATTATATTCATTTATTTTGTAGTTGAGTAGAAGGTGAAGGTATTTGGGTATTTTTTTCTTTTTGTTTTTCTTCTAATAATTATTGTAGTAGTTCTTTTAAATATTGTGATAGATACATTATAATCTTCCTTCTACTTTTCTGGTAGTTGAATATACGAAAAAAATCTGATCAAATTTATTTTAAATGAAATTAATCTAGTCTTATTAATTAATCAAATTAAACTAGTCAAATAATATTAATTGCAATCAATTATTAAAAAATATTAATTATTTTGGAAAATAACTTTTGAAATGGAGTATTATTGATAAAATTTAGCCAATTTTTTTTACCCAGTAGCGTATTTCAATATGATCTTATCATTTATCACTGTATAATAACTTTGTTGTGGCAGAAAAATATACCAGTTAGTTTCAAAATATTATTTTTTTTTCAAACGTCACAAAAGTATTAATTTTTGCGACGTGATTGACAATATAAAAAAGTCATTTTAACGCCTAGGCATAAAAGTAAAGCACTTTACGCCTAAGCATAAAAGTATGAAAATATATTATTAAAATGACATAAGTCTCAAATTCAACGAGCCGTAACCATAGTTTCTCGATATATAATTACTCATGGTACAAAGAAAACTTGAAAACAAGGTATGGTCGATAGCGTCTCCAATTTCGTTCAGTTTGCGCATATCGCCTGTGACGTCATATGCCATACAACAAAATATCCGTATTGTTCAATTGCCACTAATAAAAAAAGACCTAAAATAGGGAAGAATTAAATAACCCCTAAAGTTATGTAAAATCATCGAGCTGGACATTTGAAAAGTTATGACACATTATACACATTTATTATGTGTCATCTGTTTGAAAATTTGAAATTGGCGCGTGGAGCTTGCCGACCAATATTGCCGTTTATCACCTGTGACGTGGTGACCAACCTGCGCAATATCATACCTTGTTTTTTTGTATCATGATAATTACTTACAAGGTATGAGTTTTAAATATTTTTATATTATTTGGAACGTTTGAAATTGTTTAAAACATTATTTGTGGCGTTTGAAAAATAGCATAGCATGTTCTATTCGAGTAAAATGACTTTTGTGCTTCGGCTGTATGTCAAACCTACAGTCTCGCCACGAAAAGTGTCATTTTTACTCCTAATAAAACAATATACTAAAAAGTTTTATGGTTTAACGGGCTTTGTGAGTTAAAACATAATGATATTTTCAGTTTTTATAATTCTTGATAGAAAATAAACGGCGTCAGCGATGGCTATGAAATGAAGATCGCTGTCATTTTATATGTAAATTTATGTGGGAATTGTCGTCGACCGTCGGAAATGTCATTTCCCCGCCAACTGGACGCCGTTTTTTTTTCATATGGTACAAAGTTAAAGCAAACTTGACTCTGACCATGTTTTACGCTAAGAACGATTTATTTCGTGTAATAAAGATTTAAATGGTGTATTAAGTACATAATATTTATTTAAATGTCAAATAATATTATTGAAACAAGTGCCAAGTTTTATTTTTAATTAAGAAAAAAATTAATCAAGAATGTATAAACGTTTTGTTTTCAAAAAAAAAATTATCTTAAAAACGTAAAACCTCAATTTAGAATAAAATGATCGAAGAATGAAATAAAATTTTATAGCCTTGGGTCAAATCGAAATAATGTAAGTGTATGTAACTTTTTTTAAATATTAATAATTACCAGTAATTAGCATTAATGTACCAACATATTGAAAATTGTTATTTCTTTGTTAAATACGGTTTAGAATCCTTAAAATAACAGTAAAAATAATCGAAAATCAACAATGAAATAATAGTTTTGTTTAAATTTCTTAATCAGCTGAGCCCTATTATAGTTCGCAAAAATCCGAGCTATATTATTACATTACTCTGAGGGAAATACCGCAAATAATCGATATTTTTGACTCCGCCCCTAATCACATGCTTCATTCTTTTAAAGCTTTGCGATTTGTTCGCCAGAGGCAGCACATTTTGTCGAGAGGTTGACCAACTTTAAGAATATATAAACAAGGCCATCGGTAACTGTTTTCATATCAGTTTCTCCATGTTTATTTATTTTTCTGAAACCAAAACAACGTTTAATCTTGATTGCCTCGTACTATTTTACAAAATAGCAAGATAAATATAAGCCCGTGTTATAAAAATTAGTTCCCACCTTTCCTGAAATTGATCGAGACGCGCCGTGATTGTTTGTGTTTTTTATTGTTAGTCTGGGTTAATGTCCCATCTCAAGTTTGGTCTTCTTTTAGGTCTTTTAATTCCTCGTGGGTACCATGCTGTAATCTTTGTGGTCCATCTGTTGTCCGTCCTTCTTGCCAGGTGTCCTGCCCATTGCCACTTGAGGAATTTGATTCTGTGGATGACCTTTATTACCTGTGTCTTTTGCCGTACCCACTCTTATTCTTTTACGGTCTTTCTTGGTCATTCCCAGAATATTTCGTACCATTGAGCGTTGTGCGACCTGCAGTTTCCTTATAATGTCCGTTTTAACTTTTCCAGGTTTCGCATGCATGTCATGACTGGTAGTACACATTGGTCGAATGTTTTCTTCTTTAGATAAAGTGGCATTCTAGATTTGAATATGATTGAGTTTCTTCCATAAGTACTCCATGCTAACTTAATTCTTCTGTTGATTTTTGGTAGTAGAGTCCCGAGCTGTGAATTGGTTGTCCCAAATATTATTCTTCTACTATTTCCAGTTTTGTGTTATTTATAGAATGTCTTTTCTGTGCACTAGTTCGTTGTACATTACTTTAGTTTTTGCTAAATTCATTTTGAGACCTACTTTATTGCTAGCTGTATTTAGTTCGTTAATTTGTATTAATAACTCGATTAATATGACGACTATTATGACTACTACGCGACATAGGAAGTGTTGCCAAAGTTTATAACTATTTTTATCATGTAAATTTGATTGATTCTTATTTTAAGTACTGAGTAAAATCACAAAAAAATTCAAACAAACAAGCTATATTATTACAGGTACAAAAATTTAAAAAAGGGGTCCATTCTTCTCAAAGAGACCTGGTTTAAAATTAAAAAGAAGTAAGACCGAGACTTTGAGTCTTTTTTCTACTTCTTTTTAATAGGTAGAAAAATATTCAAAATAAAGAATTTTTAGACTGAATTGCAGTGGCAGCTTAACCATAAGGTCAAATGGTCAATGCCCCGCCCCAAAAAAAAATCAGAAGAAAATTACAAAAAAAACCCAAGATTCTAAACCTTTCATCCTAAGATATTCAAAACTATTCCCAAAGATCTTCAATTTGTTCAATTTTCGCTTGAAAATGTTTTATTTTACCCATTTTCTCTACTGCCGGTCAAAATTTCATTTTGTCCTTCGTTCCCGCTATGTTTTGCATGTATTAAATTCCAAATGCCGCGGCTCGTGACGCCAAAAAGGTAAGGTATACTACGTATAGAAAATATAATAGGTTAAGGTGAGATAGATATAGTTTATATTGGCCACTGACCGCGTCATTCATAAAAGGACTTCAGTCGCTGGAAAAATTTCGCCGTTTGGGCAGTTTGAGTGTTTATAAAAACTCAAATTAAAAAACAACCTAGGTTTTTGTATCGTCTATCGCGTATAATGTTTGGTTTAGTCAATATAAAGCAATATTTAAATTTTTAATATCGAAAGAAATCCCATCTAGTTTTAGTTGTCGTAGCCGAGTGTTTGAGGTGTAGCGCGAAATTTGTATAAATAATAATTCATAATTTGCTGGTTATGGATAAATGATGAACTGTGGTTGACTGATTCTGGAATAGATATTTTAAAATAGACAACATGGTGTTTAGTTTGTGAAATCGTACCGTTAAAAGAAAACAATTGCTTAAATTTCGAAAAACGTTTAGAGAAAAAACGCCGCATTGACTTAAAATATAAAAAAAATGTGAAATAAAACTTTTAGAATTGTGTATGTGTATACAGTACGTCTGTCCGTTCTGTAGCTACGGGGTATCCGTGAGAGGGGAAACAATATTCTCTAAAAATGAGACGGCGCGTCCCATCAATAAAAATTCGATAAATTTGCAAGTAGCCAATAAAATGAGTGGGCGGAGCGATTTGCGGTGACGTACTCGTCAAGTCGACGTATAAAATATATTGCTGTTATTTAAATGTTTTTTGTCCGCATTCCTTTCATAGACACAGATCCAGCAGACGTACTGTATATGCATTAATATTTTTGTGAAATTATTATTTCAGTGTCTTTTAAATCCTACCGTGGAAAATTTGTGTAAAGAACATTGACTGGATTTTTAGTGAAATGGCGCTAGACCACCTGTTTAAAAATGTAAGGGTAGGTTTCATTTTAACACAATTTATATTTAGTTTTAGATTTATTTTCCTTTAACTAAACGTACCAGTACCTTGTAAGAAGCCAATTAAATTTGGGCGCGTCTTAAAAAAAATCGACACAATATTTTTAGATATTGACCTCCCTACAATAATAACCACGAGCCGCCACTGCTGAATTGAAACATATGAAATGTTAGCATGAAATAATACTGTCCCCAGTTCCCCTGCAGTTATAATACAGTGTCTTGTGACAGTGTCCTGATTGATCCAATACATATCAATCCTTCTAAGTTAATGACACTTGATATAAATTTATATAACAAAAACATTAACCTTCTTAGTATACAGATAGAATAAAAATAAAATAGAAGATAAGAATATAAGCTATTAAACTTTATGTTTGTAAACTCTGATATGAAAGGTATCACCCCAAAATATTTACAAAACAAATGGTGTGATTTATTTACAAAACTCGTGCTTATGTTAATGTTAATATTAGTATCATAATAAAAGAACATTTATAGTTTATTAATAATTTCAATATTGCAAATTAAATATGTACACTATAGGGAAAAACATAAAAATGCTTTTTTTAAATAATAAAGAGCACACTCAATAATCAAAATTGTTGCCAATGGTAATATAAAACCATTTTAAATAATATATTTCTGATAGAAAAAAAAATACTTATTAAGCAAAGGAATTTAGTCCAATTGAGATAAAAAAAATTTTTAGAGAATTTGTAATTAAACTCTCGAATTTTTGAAATTATATTGTAATAAATTAAAAAAAATATAATATATTAAAAAAATTATTATGTACTCTTTTTTTTGGTCACGACATCTAAAGCCAAATTCACACTAGACGATACAGGACGCGCGGGCAAATAATAATAATAATAACAAACAGACTTCGTGCAAAGGAATTCTTACCTGAACTGTACTGTGTATACTGTTGGTACTGGGGGTGGAAATTATGAATGGCATCTGTCATAATGTCTTTAGGGTTCATCGTTTCCTATAATAATTATAATATTAAAAAAAAACATTTTTATTAACCCTTCCAGTTGTTTCTATAGTTAAGTATTGTCTTCTTAGGAATATGTGTTAATTACTATGTAATAATTGCTATCTAATAATTACTAGGTAATAATTACAATGTAATTATTACCTATTTATATATTATTATCATGTAATAATTATTATGTAATAATTACAATGTAATAATTGCAATGTAATAACTTCGGTGTAGTAATTACTGTGTAATAATTACCATGTAATCATTCCGATGTAATAATTACTCTTTATAAAACTTACCTTAAGGCTGCTCGATATGCTCTGCATTGTGACTGAGCGCCCTCTGGAATCCGTGACGCAACCCTGGACGTAGACTCTGTGGGGGAAAGCGTAGCGTAGGGCTACTGCTGCGAAAAACATTTCAATGCAAATAAGGAAGTTCTGGTAACCTGCTGAGACGGTACCAGCCGAGGTACGTGTGCCGCTGGTATCGATGATGGGCGATATAACGTCGGCTTTTTCCAGAATGGCTAATCCAACACCTATAAGAAATAATATATTATAATAAACATATAATCCATCTAATCACAACGTAAGTAGGGATGGACGGTATTCTTGAATATTGATATCGATAACTTTTTAAAAAAAAATAATAATAATATAAATATACTTTTATATCTAGTCAGAAAAATAAGTAAACATAAACATAGACGCCCTAACATAAACAATAATTTTGTTCTTTTGCCTCTGTATGTTATAACCCTTTTCTTTTTATTCACAGCACTCTGAACTTTGAATAAGAAGACTAAGGAAGGAGCATAATGCTATCCATGTATTCATGCATGGTGGGCGGAAAAGGCACCATAAAAGCTCTCTAGGGTGGGGATCCTTGACAGTTCTGTTTGACGATTCATTTGATACATTTGAATTTGATTTGAAATTTTGTGGATTTGTCAGTCTTTACGGAGCTTATTTTATGTTATTTATTATTTATTCTACTACTGACAATTGTATAAAGGTAGTAAATCTAGATGGAAATTGTGGCAGAACTTAAATTAACAGTGACACTATCGCGATTTATCGAAAAAGACTCTAAAATAGTTGGTTGTGTAGCGTGCGGTAGATCTCGGCAAAAATTGAGTGAAATAATGGAACAACTTTTCGCTCTAGTAAGTGACTATATAATATACATACGTGTAGTAAACCGATCATTTATGAAATTCACTTAAATTAACTAAATTATATATTTTTCTTGCATTTTAGCTTTTATTTATTACTTGTCAAAGATTAGATGTCAAAGAATTTAGATACGTTAATTTGACTCTTGAATTTGACTTACCAGCTTCAGTAGCGTATCGGATTGTGTTAATAAATACTTATTATAACTTATCTATTTTTATTAGAATTATATATTTTTATAACAATTTTAATAACTACCAACATTTATTCACAACGTAAAATAAAACAACAAATTATTGAGTCTACCCCACGTCTACCCTACATCATAGTTTTACATTTTTTAAATAAAATTAGAACGACATTGATAAACCGGAATTTAAGTCGGCCATATTTGAGGCCCATCGCGGTGTACCTAAGATTTTTGATATATGCTCCTTCCTTAGTCTTCTTATTCAAAGACCCTGAACAACAACATAACCTAAACGCCAAAAATTATCATATACAGTAAACTTTACTTTTACAGGCTATTATCACAGGGAATAAAAAAATCACATTCACAGATATACTTTATGTAGTGTTAACCCGCAAACTCTATCCCCCTATATTTATTTATTTCTGCAAGATTTTTAAAATATAAACAAAATTGTAATTAACGGTTTACAGGGTTGTCTAATTGGACACTTAAAGGGAAACATCCCTGTCTAGAAGACATAGACAAAAACTAATATCGGTGTTTGGAGCTCAATTTTTATCAAAAACATGATGGTAAAAACCGCACATCGATATCCGTTACCGTTTCGAAGTTACGAGGTGTTTTTCAAAAATGTGCATTTTTAACAAAAAATTTTTTTTTGCTATGGAAAATTTTTTATTTTTATGAAGACATTTCCAAAGCACCTTTTTACGTAAAATTTAATGGTTTAAGTATATTTTTTAAATTAATAATTTAAGAATTATCAAGAAAAAATTTGATTATTTATATGGGACACCCAGTATATTTTTAATTAATTGAAAATAATTTAAAATTACCTTTTCAAAAATATAGCATACTTGACATTTTGCTCGATTTCTCTTCAAGATATAGAGTTTTTAAAAATTCGCCCACTTTGAATAAGTAGGTTTTGAACGGCGCCGGCTGTAAAGCAAAAAAATTCTAGCTGTGAGTAGCAATTAAAACGAAAATAATATTTGCAATGAGAGATGCACAATTTTATAACAATTTAAACTATATTTAACATCAAAACATTTAAAATATATCTAATAACAATAAAAATTAATAGCAAACCAAGACATGAAATTTTGCTACAGGTGTTCGACATGTCGACCGTCTTTTGTTATGGACAGAAGGACAGTTTTTGAATATTTCTCGAGAAATTCATTAACTCAGTGAGTAGTGAAAGATACCCTCGCATAACCGCTAAATACTTCTGATTCTTGTCTAGATTATACGGACAATTTAAAAATAAGAACCTTTATTCTTCCGCAAAGATAAAATTACATAGGTACTAAGTCCGACGGCCTCGACGACCAACGGCTGGGATCTTGGTTAGCTATTCAATTATTCTCGAAATTGGCAGCAAACATTTGCTGATAACTTCAGCGTTCTGAGACGGTACCTCGTCTTGCTGAAAAAATATGTTTTCGTATTCCATTAGGAGCAGATTCTCGATAAGGGGTCCAAAGCCTACTAGTTAAAAGTGGCGAACTTTTAAAAATTCTGTATTTCGAAGGAGTTCATAACAAAATATCAAGTGTGATATATTTTTGGTAATTTTAAGTTCTTTTCAGTTAATTAAAAATATAGAGGGTATCCCAAATAAAAAATATTTCTGTTAATAACTCTTAAATTATTAATTAAAAAAATATATACATAAACCATTAAATTCTACGTAGAAAGGTGCTTTGGAAATGTTTTCATAAAAAGATATTCTAAAAATTCACATTTTTGAGAAACATCCCGTAACTCCGAAACGGTAAGAGATATCGATGTGCGGTTTTCGCCATCATGTTTTTGATAAATTGAGATCCAGACACCGATATTAGTTTTCATCTATCTCCTATAGAAAAGACAGTTCCCCTTTAAAAGCGTCCAATTTGACCCACCCTGTACCAAATAGTACTTAAATCTCTCTTACCTTGCCAGAAGGACAGGAAAATCACAGACTTCACCGTACAGAACTTCAAAACCGGCTCGAACGGAGTCAGCAAGTCCCTCGTAGCGAAATAGAACAAAAACAATCCGTACAGAGCCAGCGACACGGAAATATTGTAGATAATTGTGACGTAGAGATATCCTCCGTTGGGGCTCCAGTCGCCATCGTGGTAATGGTTGAAGGCTTGCAGGAATATGATGACAAAGGCCATCACAGGCTTGACCAGGCAGAACTGCAAAGTGGCCTGCTTGCAGAAGCGCAGGAAGCCGATGGTGTAGGTCTTGCCATTGAGGCAACAGGTACCGTACAGGCAACTCGATCGAATCGGTTTGCCTCGTATTTCCGACATGATGTTGCCCTCGCCTCCTAAGTACTCGTAACAGAGGGACAAGAAGTTGTATATTACGAAAGCTGCAAAAAAATCAGGTTTTTTATAACTATTTTGAAATAGTTTCATGTTGCAGTGATAATATTCGCTGAAATTTGTAAGATGCGATCCAAAATAATTGAAATAGTTGGCTATACTGATTTTGATTATGATCAGGTTGGCAATGAAATTCGAATATTTATCACCTTGTCACTAGCGTCAAAACAAACCAAAAGTAAATATGATTTACTTTTTAGTTTTTTACTAAAATAGTTTTCCATAATAAATGAGACTAAGAAAAACAAGAAGAGAAATAAATGGATTTAATCTGAAGGTTCTCTAATTTTATTGTTGAATAAGTTAATATGTATGTCAAAATAAATAAAAAATAGACGTTAACTGACATGTTAGAAATTTAGTTTCAAAATTTTCGATCTTGAAGATTCGGTATGTTAGTATTGTAATCGCAAAATATTTTCCGATGCACGTCATCAATCCTATATTGACACTAAAGTCTATAAACCTGACTAAATGAAATTGTGGCAAAAATGTTTAAATTTGTTGTATAATTTAAGATACCGAGCAGCTCTTCATTTTACTAGATAAAGCAAACGATTGTAACAGATATTTTATTTAGATTACAGCTGCAAAAATTAGTTTAAACGTTTAACGAATTTTATTATCGCTATGTTGGTCACATAGCGCCGTTTTCAGCAAGGTTGTCGTTTATTATTTCACAATTATCCTAATGTCAGTCATTATTTTGTATATCGTGTTGTTGAATCTTTTTGAGTAATTCTCGTTTTTTGCCTATTTTTATAGTCTTTCTTTAAAAATTATACTTTTAAGCACAAACAGTTCTTTTAAGAACTAAATTTTCGAATTTTTGTATTGCATTTCCTAAAATTGTGTGTTGAAAATATGCCGAAGTATTTAAACAGTTGAAGCAAAGAGCTTGTAGCTTCCCTGATAAACTATTTTCAACGAGAATGTGACAATAAAGGCCCTTTATTACCCTTGACTGCAAACAGAGAAGTAAGTTTGATTGATAAGCACATTACACCACTTTCAAAATTATTTCTATGTTAGTTTTTATTAAATTCAGTGATTATTAGTTTGTGCATTAATAGCACCCTCTTACTTGTTATTACCACTTATGGCGTTGTAAGATGCACATCAATAAATAAATAAATAACCCATAATAACGCTTAGAATAATCTTCATAATGGACTAGTTTTTGCCAATATGTAATAAGTAAAATAAGCTATAAAAAAATAAATCAATTAATTACTAAAATATTAGTTATTAAATTAAAAATAAAACGTAAAAATCTTTAAAAAATGATATAGTAAATATATTGTTTGTTACGTTTAAATTAAGATTCATCTCATAAATCCATCACAATCTGACAGCGCTGTCGCCATCGCTTGTCACTCAAAGTTGATCACGTGCATAGGAAATTGTTTTGCGATTACCATATATGACATAAATTAGGATTGATTGTCGTATTCAAACCATACAAAACTTCCTGTTTCACCGGAAATGACTACAACTTTTAATTTTTAAATGACACCATCGGTATATTTTTATTTTATTCAATAAAAAATAACACTCTAAATAGAATAGCATTTCATATGTCAAATTATGACATTTTCGCATATGGTTTATTTTAAACTGTAACATGCGGTTCGTAAAGACAATTTGACTCGAAATACCACCAAAGTGTGTGGTACCAAATTATTTATAAAAAATGCTTTTTCCAAATAATATGCTAATAAGCCACCCTTATTCCATGTGAAAAAATTAAGATATGATTAAAACGGTTTGGACATCTTTTAACTGGCCAGGACAAGACACGAAAAACAAAACATTAGATGAACAAATCTATTTTTCCAAAGCTCCTTGATAAAAAATTAGTGGTTTTAAGCAAAAATGTCAAATACTGATGATATATGTCAAATACTGACATATAATATGTCATTCTATTCAGAGTGTCATTTTCTATAGAATAAAGTAAAAATATACCGAGGGTGCCGTTTAAAAATCAAAAGTTGTAGTAATTTCTAGTGAAACAGGATGTGACCAAAAACAATTGAATATGTCAATCAATCCCAAGTTATGTCATATACTAATATACCAAATCTCGTTTTTTATCTGAATAAATAAAAAAGTTACAAGGCCACTTTTGAGATACACCCGGTATTGCCAAGTATTTCAATCATTGTGAATCGCTCTGTATTAAAATAAACAATATTTATTGGGTAATCGCGTATAGTATTTTCATACCTTCATAGCAGTCTCTAACGGTGAAGAAATAGACGTAATAACTTTCAGAGTTGAAGAACAACAAACTTATCCATGAATAGGTAGCGTAAATGGGCACTATGAACAAAATCCTGACGATCCATCTTTGTTCGGTAGGATTCGTGTACCAACGTAGATGATGATAAATCTAAACAAAAAAAAACATTATTCTATTAACAAAGTATTATATCAAAATGTGATATGCAAAAATGTAACAAATCAATATAAGGGGATCTCCATCGGTTGTTGAAAAAAATGTTCAAAAATTGTTAATTCACAATAACAATTCGAAAAGAATCATCAAGGTCACTGACTACTTCAAAATTACATTTACTTTATTAGAGTTAAGTATTTTTTTTATTACTATTGCAGTATAGTACACTATTAAATTTTATCGTTTGTTTCAAACTCTACCTATAATTTCTGTTCATAAATAATTGTTTAATGTACACTTGCTATTGTTTTTTCATGTTACTTTTGATCTGCGCTTTTATAATAATTGTTTTTTGAATTCGCCAGCTTACCAATAGTTTTTTTTTAAATCTGATGTATGTATGAATGTATGGATCTTTGTTACTCTTTAACGCGAAAACTACTGAATGGATTTTAATGAAACTTTACAATAATATAGCTTATAAACTTGCGTGCATAGAAATCAGCCCACTGTGAAGTTTTGGCTTTAATTGTGTCTTTTAGAATCTATTTATCAGAGCAAGTAAAAACTATGAGCTGTTTCAAAGAGAATTTAACATGCTTAACATGAGTATAAATTTATCCAGAGTACTTATCGTTTAAATGCGTAGCAACGGGTAAACAAATGAAAGGCATTTGTGTTGTGGTGACAATAAGAATGATAAACTTGTCAAATATTGCAATTACTACCTTTGTAATAGAAATTTTCACATTGTTCTTTCATTCTTTGATTAGTTGTTTAGTGTTTCAATATAAGGCATACATCACCGGAAAAAGCCGCCCAAGTAATCGCTTTAATCGAAAATGGACTGAAACAGAGAGCTGTAGCTCGGCAACTGCATATAACACGCGGAGCGGTTCGAAGAGTGTCTGAATGATATGAGGAGAGTCGATCCTTTCGTAGGGGACCTGGGATGCAACTTTCTTCAAGTTATCAACCGATCGTTTAGAAGCGATGTCGAAGCCACATCGATACTATGTTCATTGTAAAACTATTGTCGCTCAAATGCTGCGAAATATGGTATCACTATCACACTCTTGCACACGTGTCTAGACTGTCGCCTCGCCACAAAGCGAGAAATCAGAATATCGCTACGAATCGATGTTGCTACTGAACATAGTGCATCAAGCTACAAATTACTTTGCTATCGCTTTGAAACATGAACAAAGTTGCACCACTGGAACTGGTAGAAAGAGATATACAACGGATCGTGATGACCGCTTTATTGTGTCAACAATGTTAAGAAATCAGCGCCTTAATGCTATTCAGGTGTGACTATTAGTCAGTGGACAGTAAGACGAAGATTGAAGGAAAGTAACATTAACACATTGCTTATGGAGGTGGTTCCTGCATGATCTGGGGTGCAATTTCTATGGCTGTGCGAGTTTTTTTTTGCCCCAGTTTTCATCCGTTGGGGTGACCGTCGGCACGGGAGAGGAGGTTTAACTGGTGCTAGGTATATTGATGAAATTTTAGCAGTTCATTTTCCAAACCAAACCAAACCAAACCTTATGTCGACTACATTGGAAACGAATTCACTTTTATGCATGACAATGCGAGGGCACACACATCAAGAAGCGTACAAGATTACATTTCAGAAGTCGGTTTTCGGGTTATGGAATGGCCAGCAAGCAGTCCAGACGTAAACCCGATAGAACATTATGGGATGAGCTAAAACGAAGAATTCGTGCTAGACGAAGAGCCCCAACCTCTATCCCAGAGCTCATTGTTGCAGTAGAGGAAGAGTGGCTTATCATCCCGCAAGAAACAATATCAAATTTGATCGAATCTATGCCAAATCGTATGAGAGATATTGTTAGAGCAAGAGGGGGTCATACCCATTATTGAAAATTTAGTTTACTTAATTGTCCATAAATAAATTAATAGATAATAACATGCCTCTAAGTAATAAAAAACGATAATCTGTTTCATGCATTAATTTAATAATTTTAATCCAAAGAAACTAAAATACAAATTAATATCTCCGACCTATTTTCAAAGAATATGAAATTGTCTTTCAAACAGCATATATTTTTTCTTAATCTGACAAATAGATTCTTAAAAATATATAGTTAACTTCAAAAGTTTGCCTTGGGCCGATTTCTATGCACGCAAGTGTACATCAGAGTATCACATAAGCTCTAATTTATAAATATATTGTGTGAATTGTCGTATTTTGGACAATTCACACCCTCAGATGCAAAAAAACGCAACGGAGAAATTTTTGGTCAAATTTAAAGTGTTATATTTTTGTTACTTTTAGCCCCATTTTCATGAATTTTTTAGCAAGCTGTAGATAATTATATCAACTGTAATTCGTAAACTCAGTTTTTTATTAACTTTAGTATTTGACTTATTATACAGGGCTAATCGAGGAGTTGTTTTTTTACCCTAACTTTAAAACACCCTGTGCAATAATTCCATGTGTAAGTTTTCCTAAAATATAATTTTACGGTCAGAACCATGTCTCCTGAGCATTTTGTTTTTTGTCTCATATATGCCTTCGTTAATTTTTTAGAGCGATATGAACTGATCACGATCAAATTGCAATCTTTTCAATTATCATTACATTTTGATGTAATTTTTTAATATGACGAGACGGTTTTGGTTTGGTTGTATTGCTATTGTCGTAACGTCATAATACGCTACATTGGATATTCTATACCTACTAAATTAAAAAAAAAAACGTTAAAGACTAACAATACAGTCCGGGTTTTAATAAACATTAATAACGAAAACAGAACTAACGCTATTGAAGAAAACATCTGTAATACTCAAGTATACAAACAGAAAAAAAAACTAAAAAATACTCTAATACTTTGTATTGCCTCCCTTGGTTGCTATAACTGTCTGTATAGGTCCGTTCATACTGTCATTGAGGCTGCATATATCATATTGCGTTATGTTCCCATTCTTCTTTAAGGACCAAGCGAAGTTCACTTAATAAAGCTGGTACCGCTTCGCGACCTCTGACCCTCCTGTCAGGCATTCCCCAAACGTCGAACATTATGGACAGTTCATAGTAATATATAGCTCACAATAATCACCAAAGCCACCTTGTCATATTGAAAAATAGCTTCAAAAAGAAAAGATAATTGAAAAAATTGTAAATGGTTGATGGCAAGCTCATTTCCCTATTCAAACAATTTTTTTTTCCCTACAAAAAACAAAATGCTCAAAAGACATGGTTCTGACCGTAAAATTATATTCTAGGAAAATTTACACACAAAATTATTGCACAGGGTGTTTAAAGTTAAGGTAAAAAAAAACAACCCCTCAATTAACTCTGTATAATATGCCAAATACTAAAGTTTATAAAAAACTAAGTTTACGAATTAAAGTTGACATAATTATATACAGCTTGCTAAAAAATTAATGAGAATAGGTCTAAAAATAACAAAAATATAACACTTTAAATTTGACCAAAAATTTCTCCGTTGTGTTTTTTTGCATCTGAGTGTATATCAATAATGTTGAAAAATAACTTACTGTAAAATTATAACAAAAAAATAATTGCATTGCCATTAGGTGCTATAATACTTAAATATTACACTTTATATTAATAAAATTCGAATTTTATGCCGTAAAAAAGCAGACATGTAAAAAATAAAATAAAAAAATGAGAATAATTTAAAAAAAAATATTTGTGAAAGAATTAAAATTCCAATTTTTATTTAATTCTGCAATTTTTTATATTAACCCTGTGGCACGGCACTACTTGGTGACAACTGGTAACAATTTGGTTTCAGGTATTTGGTCCTTGTATTCTTGAACCATTGTTTACAATAATAAAACATCGATAGTAAAAATCGATTGAAACATTTCCAGAAACATCGATGCTCCAGAAACATCGATGTTCCAGAAACATCGATGCATCATTTCCATCCCTACTCCAGATATACTTATTCCTGTGATGCAGTGTTGCCAGAGTTTCCGATTTCCTTCAATATGAAGGATTTTACGTCAAATTTCGTGGATTGAAGGGCTGAAGAATTGTTGAAGAATCCAAAAAGAAGACAATATGAAGGTTTCTAGCAGTTTTGCATATTAAAAATTGTTAAAATATGTAGTAGGAGTATCTATAGTTTTCCCTACATCTATTTTTCACTTTAACGGTGTTTAATTAAGCATGCCTCAGTTTAAAGCAATGTTGCTGTCAAAAAGTCCGCAATTCGAAAGATTTTAACATTTAACAAAAAATTAATAGATACATTTTTATCTTTCAACACACATACCGTAACTAAACCAAAGTTCTTGATGTTGAAAAGAAATAAATAGGTAAACAGAATACATATGGTAATCGCAAAACAATTTCCGATGCACATAATCAACTTTGAGTGACAAGCGATGGCGACAGCGCTGCCAGATTCTGATGGATTTATCAGATGAATCTTAATTTAAAATAGACAAACAACTATGGAGTGTAGAGGTAAGGAGAAACAACTCTTACGGGACTTTTATTGAAAAAGTGGTCACAAAATGGGAAGAATAAGGGTTCGCCAAATAACCACAGTGGCGCTAAAAACGCATGATTCTAAAAAATGAAAAGTAACCAGAGAATAAAAATAAATATAACCAAACATTAACCAAAAAAATTTTGTTTTTATTTTTCAGACAGAGTTTTTGAATATAAAATAATTATTGTTTATCAATATTGATGTTTCTTAACAGCAAAAACTTAGATGAACACCAGCAGCATGAGACTTATTAAATGATCTATTGCATGGCTGGTGCAGATGAATAGACAAAAACGTCATGATACTGCAGGATGTTTATTTTGGACGCCGTGTTTTGATCGCCTGATATTATACATAAATAATAATATACACATAAGCATCCCATGATAAAGATCAACATTTTGTAGAGCAATAACAGCATCAAATAATGGAAATAATGGACCCTACTGCTCAAATCAAAAACAAAATTTCATCATTACCACTTTATTGGTTATATCA